TTGATCAAAAATAAAAAATTTGGCTTTGTTGAAAACTGATTTGAGCCCCAAAGAAGTCATACTTGCGCTATTGATAAAACATCTGAGTAAACTTTCGTGTGAGAATTCGAGTTCCACTCGTGCAGTTTTCAATTAATTGTTGAAAATCAAAACCATGGTAATCAGAACAAAGATAAAAATCATCATCAGCCAACGACAAGTCGAAGGTAGGAAGCGCGGGAAAACGCTAGTGACCGAGAGGAGATTGGTTTCTAGTTTCGCATCTGATTGGTTGTTGAGATAGAGGCGCGAGTTTTCTATACCAAGTAAAGCAAAGCTAAGGCAACCCAGGATCACTTTCGATACTTATTAAAAACTGCTCTTAACCAACCCTTTACGCCCTATGATCAGTAGGCATATTCCCCATACTGTTTTCTATACATTTCCTAAGGTGCTGACGAGGAGATTTTGCTTAACCATCAAGAGCTCCTGTACTTGTTGATCATTTCCATTGTTCTCATGACCTTAATGTTTGATTTAGAGGTGATATTGTAAGGAGAAATTAGATGCTGGTCACTCTTTGGGGTTAAAGGGTTAAACTAAACCTCAATTATCATAAAGTTTTATTTATTCAGTTTATTTTTCAAACGGTCAGTTTTATCGAAACTAGATTGCAAACTTAGTATTTATTTTGCCTGCCTTCATTAGTAACAAAAATAGGAGGTCCCACGTAGGAAAGTACACGGGAAAAATGAAAAAAAAATAAAGACAACAATAAAAACTACATCCATTCCGCCAACTATACAAAAAAAACTAACATTATTAGCTGCAAAAATAAAATGAGAACCAGCAATTATTATTTTGAGAACTATATTGATTAATCGCTGTTTAGCTAGCTAATGTTCTTACACATTGGAAGAGAAGGTGACGAAACATCTTTGGCAAAACACAAACAAAAAAAAATTGCTTTCGGCAACCGATGATTAACAATGTTCAATGAAACGAATACTCTGTACATTCAACCAATGACAATTTTACTGATTTGGACAAAGAAGTAACGAGACTTGTTTACAGAGAAAAAAAAACAAGAATTCAAGATTTCAAGATTTATATCCAACACGGACAAATTTCCATGATATTCTACCAAATCATTTGGACATGAAATGTTGAGTGACACCTTGAATTTACGAACAGATGAAATGTGTTGTATTTTTTTAGTGAACTCCTTTGGACGGACGAATTGTCTTGAAATTTCTACAAAATCAAATATATTGAGTTTAGACTAAAGATGATTTGCCATTGGCAATCATTTATTGATAGGAAATTTTCAATAATTTTCATTATAAACAAGGCCGAATTGTTTTGATATTGTACTTGACAAAAGGCTGAGGAATTTTAATCAGAGATGTTTCCTGCGCCTCTTTCCTTTCAACGTGTAGAAATAATCTTAAGGAACATGGCAAGTCATTATCACTGAGAATCAGAGCTAGAAAATCGCTCAATGTTAAGTATAGAGGAGAAAATATAAAGAAATTTGAAATAATTTCAACTTTGGCTCTTTCCACAAGATTTTCTTACTTGCCATGTTGCTTAGGATCAGTTGAGAAGTTTTGCTACATTTTGGCAATTTTGTTCAAGGTATAAACAGTTCAGAGAAATACAGAGTTGGTTTGAAACTTCGTTTATGGAATACAAGAAATATGGTAATTTTAGAATGACAAGCAAAAACTCCCACAGTTCAGCTCTTGAGTTCAGCTAAAAGCCGCAAGGACGCAGATTGGATGGACTAATAAATTTCGGCGAGAAAATATCAGTCATAAAAACCACTTAAAACAGCGTCGCTCGTGTTAACAACATAGACCAGATTTGGTGATAAATATTTTTGCAAGATTTTTTCTAGTTTAGATGGTTAATTTTTTTTTAGAAGAGAAAACACTCAAATTTTCGACATAATGATCTTAACCAACCCTGTATTTCATGCTTTGTTGGTACTATGATATAAAACTGGCCAGAAAAAAGCAAACTGTTTTCGCAAACAGAATCTCGTACTAGACTTGACTAAAATAATGAAAAATCTTTCAAAATTGGATTACATCTTTACGACTGAGCAAACAGATGTACGAGATTTTGTTTGTTTACCATTTAGCGGGAAATTTTACATCAAACTACTTAAATTTTTTTGCGAAAATGTTGTTAGGGGAAACTCCGTGCAAATTGTCCCAAATTTTTCCGCCAAAAGTCTTAGTATGTAAACGAAAAAAATTTTGTAGGCACCTTTTCATTAAAAAAAAATTGAAAATTACTTACTTAATTAAATGTAATTCGAATCGCATTTTCAACACATAGGAGAATTTGTGAAAATAAAACAGTGTGCTTTACTGAGTATACAGTGCAATACAATACCAAACATAAAGTAGTCACTTTATTTCATTTATAATAGCAATAATACAACAATAGAATACATTATGTACTTATTGACAATAGTATTTCGGATAGTCGGAGTGTTTTCCATTGTTTTACCGTTTCTATTTTTCATGTCAAAATTTGTTTAACATGCATCAATTTTCAAAAATTTGACATGGAGGAAAGAGAAATTCTGTGTCTCCTTACAACATCATTGTTAAGGTTCTGCTTTTGCTGTGGCTTTACTTATTCAATTTTTTATTTCACTTGATGGAAATTGTTTCAACCCAAAGATTGTTTTAATTGATAAACATAGTTTCGAAGTTTCAAAAGAGCTCAAATTTTGTACTTTTTTTCTGCAGAGTTCTGGTTGTTTTTCCCTTCAATTAGCCCATATTGTTTTCTAGAGAAAAGTTAGTTTAAGCTCGGTGAAAGCTTGTTCGACTCAAAGCAGATCGTTAATGATCAACTTATTCGTTCGTAAACGAATTTTGCTAGCCCTTAAAATTGCGTGTCATGTACCAGCCATATTGCCGGAAAAAAAAGCCGAGTATGAGTATAATATTTTTTTTCAAAAGAGTAGACAAGAAATCGTTATTTGCGACCGTGAAATTGTTGAAAAATTTGTACCCATTGCTATTGAACCAGTTTTTAAGAGGCAAACACTTGCGTTTACTGCGCACCTTCTTACTCTGGCTTAACCCTTTAACTCCCAAGATCTCATTTGTAATTCTCCTTACTATCTCCCATACAGTTCTTGTGATGTTAGTTTGGAGAATTTGGTATTGGATCGCCTAATAATTCCCGAATTAATATTTTTCTTTGTTCTCATCACTTGTCCGCTTGATATTGTATTGATATTGTAAGGAGAAATTCTGTCTTGATCATTCATGGGAAATAAAGGGTTAAAAGTAATTTGTAATTCTACCTTCACAGAATGCAAATCTTAAAAGTCTCTTCTCTTGTCCACTTGCCAGGCATAAATTAAACTTTTGACTAGTAATCGAAGGACATTTGCACAGAATACTGAAAGAAGAGAAAATAAACTTTAAACAAATAGTTTAGACCAGGAAGGTCCTCAAATAATGTTATGCCCAGTTCCTGATGAGATCGCTGAGAACACAGTTGAGCCTAATCTGATAAAATTTAGCGCACGGTGTATGATTGAGAAGCAATGAGGAGCAGTACACAATGGCCTTAAATAATACATGCAATAAAAGATGTTTCCTGAAAACTTATACTCTCGGACTGTTATCAACATATTACTCTCCGAATACCATGTGGTAAGAGAAGCGTCTAGACTTCGATTTTGTACATTAAACAAATTATTGCTGATCCGCACGAGAAAAAAAAGAAGGACAACATCGCGCAAATTCAACGCCGCCAAAATTAAACAAATCCTTTAAAATCCCAAGAGGCCGAGAGGGCAGTTAGGAGTAGGCTTTGTTCTGGCTTGTTGCTGTTGGATAGCAAGGCGTTCAACTTTCAAGATTTATTAGATTTAATAGAAATCACTGCGATTAGCGTTTATTCGAATTCAACAACTGATAAAATTTGAACATGTTCATCACTTGTCCGTTTTCTGTACATTCTTCTGTTGCTCAAAAGGGAAATCGTTAAAACTTGTTTTCAGTAAAAATTTTAATTACCTCTAACGTTTCCAACCACAGAATAAAAATCAACGCTTCGTGGTTTAGTCTTATCATCATTCATGGTGGTTTAGTAGAACAGATCCCAGTAAGGGGGTCTTACAAATCTGTGACATTTAGAAGAATTCCGACATTTTTAAAATTGATATCAAACCCCCAGACTTCCTGTTCCCTTGGATAACTTAATGCCATCCAATGAGTACGAGGAAATTCCTACACATGTTGATACTAAAACGTAATCTCTTTCATGAAAAATATTGTTTTAAAGCCTTAACTCTTTCACTTTTAGATCTCATCAGTAATTCTCCTTCCTGTTTTCCGTAAAATTATTATGATGTTGGTTCAGAGAATTTGACACTAGATCAACTAACTCTTAATCCTCTAACAGACATTTTTGCTTGATGCTTGTCAGTTGTTTTCCTGATACTGTATCGAAATTGTAAGGAAAAATTTTGCCTCGGTCAGTCATAGGGGTTAAAGGTTACATGAACTTAGCATGGGTTACGTAACCTATTGTGCGGGGTGTTGCACGTTATGTCGTTACAATTGCTTCATTAGCAGAGAGCTGGTATATTTACGGCGTTGCTTTCATTCATATTCATTCGCGTCATACGAACGTCTCTGCGCCCTCAAAATTAAATACCCAATGAGTGAGGGCTGTCAGTTTTTCAAATACATATTTACAAAGTAAAGAGTATGCATAAGAGTCGGTGCGTTTATTATATTATAAGTCGTTTGCTTGCTGTATTTTTGGAGCCTTTCAGAGCTTCTGTAATTTTGCTGTCAGTTTTTCATGTACATGTTTGCAAAGATTATGCATAAGAGTTAGTGCGTTTATTGTATTATTAGTTGTTCTGTAATTTCCTGCTCTAAAACGTTTCGCTCTCTTGCAACTCTTTCATAGATTGCATGCTTGCGTGTTCTATAGGGTGCGAAATTACAATCACAGACTCGAAAGGCTCTTACGTATAGAACTGAGTTACAGCAATTCGAATACGAAAGAAGAGTAAATGTTCCTCTTAACAACAACTCTTAAAAATTTCAATGATTATCGTGCACTTCTCTTTTCTTATTACTCAACAAAAGAAACCAAGTCTACTTGATGTGAAAGTCAGGGGCACCAACAAACACTCCAGCTACCAAGAACAATTCGTTGGATAATGTTTTAAATGTGATTGTGTGGTAGCCTGGCTGAACTCTATGCCCAATCGTGTCGTACCGATTCCTTCTCATCTGAGTAGAATTGGTTTGAATTGTTTCGTTTTTATGATTGTCGAGCCATATTGCAGCAATGCCTCCGTTATGTTTTGTCAAAACTGTCACTGACCGGGTGCGAAACGAATTTTCACCAACAATCCGAGGAACATAGATCTTTAGCTTAAGGACGCTGGAGCGTATCCAGGCACACCACCCCCCTTGGGAATCAGTGCGAAGTTCTCTAGCGACTCTTTTAACATTCTGTTTTTGCCCGTACACTTTGAAACATGGCGAAAAGCCAGTTTTCTCTTTAATTTCAAATTTGAGATTAGAGTGGTGAAGCTTCTTAAATACATTCGGCGTTTTCCCCGTCCAACACAATGGCTTTTTTAAGGCTTTGGTTTCACGCTTTATAAAAAATAAGCTCGGGAGATTGAAGCTTCCGTCATGATTGATAGAAAGCAGATTTAATCCCATGACGTTGTGAGGAATCTCTTGGTAAATGTTTTTCACATATTCCGTCATCATGTAAGCAATCTGAGCATGCGCCTTAACACCTATATGTTTACCATCTGAGCCTGCCATGCTTGAGTGCATTACTTTCCATCGACCTTTCTCTTTCCTACAAATTATTTCCCTTAAATTGAATGATGTAATGTCGTAATGACGGGCAAGTTCTTTTTGACCAAAGTCTTCGAGGGTAACACAAGATGGATTTTCCACCTTTTTAGTGTACGGATTAACTCCGAAATCACGTACAACGTTTATGTAAAAGATCACAGGTGCTGAAGAATATGCAAGAGCTTGTCGCGTCAGTTGTTCCAGTGGTTTCGCCGTCTCAAGTGCTATATCGTTAGATGATAATTCTATCAACACGAAATCGAATCTCGCGCCTTCAGGAATAAAAGTTCTGCAGCAAAACGCGAAGAAATAGCTATCCGTGTCTCCGATTGTCAGGGCAGTTACCTTCAAAAAGGATTTTGCAAAACTACCAAAGGTTTCGTTCCACCATTTCTGAAATACTTTGAAATACAATCCATCCAGGCTGTTCTCGTCAAGTCCTAGTTTTCCTCCCGCGCTATGAGAGCCTCCGATCACCAACACGCTGATGTTTTCTCCCCGTAACGCTTTCATCAGAACATGTCTGAAGCGATCAGAATTACCAGCTTGAATACTTCTTGATAACAGCGTTTTGTCAGAGGTTATAATGCTAAATTTATTCGGCAGTTTGAATATTTTTTCTAGTTCCGAAATTGTAACTTGCTTAGGAACTGGTTTGTTGAGCGAAAATTCAAATTGCTTAATTGTGTGAAGATGATATAATAAAATGAGGATAAAAACAAGAGAGCAGCACGTAAAAAAGGTAGACTTTGACATCTTTTAAATTGTATTCGGCTGGCTTTCCCAGCTGTGCTGTTAGGATAAAGAAAACTCTATCTCAATTTGGACAATTTGAATTGTGCAAGTATCTTATCACAAAATCTGAACTAGAGGCAATATTCATAAACAACTTACTGTGTCTGATTGAGCTTGCTAATATGCGTTGCGAACCGATGAGTTGGTGAAGGGAAAGAACAGTTTTATCGCAGCGTGGTGGAACCGATTTGCATATTTTGTTTATTGATTCCTAAATTTTGACGTCATGGCGCTAAAAAATTCAGTTCTAAACAACGCGGACTACAGGCGGCCCAAGCTCCAGCTGTGAGATGATCATCTTACGCAATAACTTTCATGGCGGAATTATAAGAGTTTGTATGGGAATATTTACGACCGCTCTAAGAAATAAAAGAATACGTCAAATTCTCATAGCGTATTGCTTGTTATCTGACCGCTTACTTTGATGAAAAGAACACATTTTAGCGGGTTGTCCATTTCGAGGTTTTCAACGTACATAAGAAAAGCCCAAGGCTGAGCACTCCATTTCCGAACGCCCGATCTGAGTAGCGAAAAATTCCAGCGCAAAATGACCGGGCGGCCACAAATCCAACGCAGAATCCAAGCACATATACTGTAGTTTCATTTAAATTCACTACAAACTCAATCTTCCTCGTGCAACCGACGCTAAGCCGCAGTTTTCTTCAAAAATTTCCAGTTTAGAAGTTTCTAACAGCCAGCGTCCACATCAACCTTGACACACGACCGTTGAAAATCAGCTAGGTCACCTTGCCTCCTTTTTAAACTGAGCCTCGCCGGGGACCCCACTGTAACTTGGTACCGGTGGTGCTACGACAATTTCTTCATGCCAAGTTACAGTGGAGTTTTGTTAAAATGCTTGTCAATTTGTTAAAACAATGTTATTACTCACACATTCTTGATCAATTTGAGTTTAGTTATCTTGGTGTTGTTGTTGTTTTTGTGATTAGGTCAATCAGAAAAATAGGTGATTGGGTGTGGACAGAAAAATAGCAAAGGGTTTCCCATCCTTTGTCATGTGAAGACAATGTTATAAAAATTAGTAGTAAAACCAGCAGCAATTTATGTTTATATTTCAGCCATTCTGTGACATGTTGATTTCTGTCAAGGAAGCCTTTCCATTCTCCATATCTCAACAACCCCTGGAATGCAAACTGACTGCTGTCCTCTCCCACTGTTTGTGGCTTTAAAAAATGTGATCCATGGAACAGTATTGATAACCACAAATTTTAAGCAATGTTTATTCATATATATGTGCAGATCAAAGCTTTCACATGTCAAAATGTTATACCATGGTATTACAGATTGTTATTAATGTAATAAAATTATCAAATTCAAAGATCTTGGACCCCACTGAGCATGCATTGTGGAGAATGTTAGAAGAGTGAACTATTAATGAAACTAGTCACACTGCGGTATCAGTTGAGATCATACCGGGGCATACTCCTAATGGACAATACCTATAGAACAAAAAAGACACTCGGGGATAGGGCGTTTGAAAATGCTGCGCCCAAAGTATGGAATCGACTCCCTTTAGAAATTAGACAATGTCAATCATTGAACATTTTTAAAGTTTTACTAAAGACACATCTTTTTAAATTAGCTTTTTATTAGTTCTTTTATTAACTCATATTCTACTTTTATTGTTTTCCGAAAATTGTAAATTATTATTATTATTATCATTATTTGGACTAGCCATTTATTACTTTAAGATTTTAGTGTTGTAATGCGCACTCGATCATATCTTTATCGCATGCTAGACTGCGCAATATAAGAAATAAACATCATCATCATCATCATCATCATCACTGTATCTGTTGTTTTAGTTCTGTTGCAGTTTATTTAAACCAATGTGATGAACATAAAAGTAATGTTCACTTAAGGTGAGGATAAAAGGAGGAATGAGTCGCAGAATGGCATGTCTTATGGAATGGCACAATTTGTTGTGGAGTATGCCATCCTTTACGTTTACCTCTAACCCTCACCCTAACCCTAATGTTTAAAAGTACATAGTCTAGGGCTGGCTGTGATACTATATTCCGTATGAATTTTACCATTTTATGTACTCATTCCACCTTTAATCCTCACTAGTGTTTACAAATAGCTTATAATTTGTTGTTTCAGTTACTTTATACACAGAATATGTTTTAATTTATAATAATCAATAATAAATGTCTATATTGCTCATTAGATAAAAACACTTATCTGATGTTACAGGATAAAACAAAATTTCATGTGTAATAACTGTTACATTTTGAACTCTTGGTTTTCATAGGCTCTGGTTGCTGAAAAAGGGCTGACCCTCTTATCAGCGAGCAGAAATTCGATTTTTGTACTTGATTTTGTAAAACCAAGCCATGGATAATCTCTACCACTTTGATGTAAAGGCCTATTCCATGACAATCAGACTGATCAAATGAGATAACTTGAGGTTGAAAAAGATTGAAAGACTCTTTAGACAAGGAGCATGGTATTTCTGGAACTTCAGCTATCTCCTCTTTCTTCCCCAGCATATTCTTCACAAGGTGGAGGACTGTGATATTCAATTTCATAGGATAATGCTCCTTCAGGTACATCTTGGTACAAATGATAGTGATTTAAGCCATACATCCAGAGTTGAGCAGGTGTCATGTTTGATTCAAATCTGAGAGGATTGTTATCAAAGGCATCTTGAAACAAGGATAGTTGCAACTTTATTCAAGGCATAAATACATATTACAGACGATATAGGTGTAATTCATTGCTTATCTCAACGTACCCTTTGTCTTCAAGAAACCAAAATTGATGGTAAAACACGTTCCCAGGTCAAACGAATTCCAAGTAAGAATGCTTTCATTCTGTGAATGCTACAGTTCGGAAAATTTTGCAAGGTTCTCTTCACAAAGCAATTCAAACAGTCGTCAGAAATACCAGTATACTTTGGCACCTCCTTCCGTAACTTAAACAGTTGAATTCATCCACAAATTGTTTTCCTGCATTTGCCAACCATCTCTGCAATTTTTTCAAGTAAAAATTCACACCTTGAGCACAAATTAAAAATTCTCTCGTGGTACCTCAAAAGGACAGTGAATAGTGGAAAGTGCTTTAGATCAACACCCTGGATTGACCATTGTCTCGGGCGGCGATACTAACAAACTGGATGTAAATGATCTTTGTCAATTGACAGGATGGAATTCCTTGATGAACTTTCCAACTAGGGGTGTTGCGTACTTGGATAACGTCCTTACAAATCGACCGGACTTATTTGGGAAATGTGCTCCGTTTTCTATATCAATAAAAACGGATCACACGGCGGTCTTTTTACCAGCGGGATCAAAACTCAAACCTGTTCGCCAAAAAATTCGCATCCGGGATTGCAGAAAACACTGAAAGGAGGCGTTATACTTGGAACTTACGGGAGAGACTTGGGATAGTGTCTTGGGAACAAACGATGTGAATAAGGCTGTGAAGAACTTGGAAACTCTTATTCACAGACACATGGACAAGTGCATGCCATTCAGAACAGTTCGCATCTCATCGCGTGATCCGGCGTGGGTGACACCCCTTCTCAAGCCCTTGATCAGGTCTAAATCTAGGATTGGTCAAAACAGGGGGGGGTCGGCTTCAAGAGATTAACAGGAGAATAAGTTAAGTTATCAGTGAGAACAGGAGAAATCTCCTTCAGGCACCTGTAGGAGCTAGGGAGTGGTGGAAACACGTGGATAGCCTGTCACAGCGCCGGTGTTCCTCGGCTAAGGTTACATTGGACATGCAATCTCTGGCTGAGCTGAATGATTATTTTGCTGAATTGTGTTGGGACAGTGCGTATAAACAGCCTACACCTGCCCAAGTTGAGAGTGGAGTTCAAGTTCCTGAGATTTCAGAAAGACAGATATGGAACTGTTTGCAGCACCCGAAGAAAACCGCCACTGGACCGGACCTCATACCGTTCTGGGTGTGGAGAGACTACGCGGAAATTTTTACACCTTTAATTTGCAAGATCTGGAACTTATCCCTGAGGTTCAGTACCTGGCCCTCATCGTGGGAAAGAGCTGTAATTGCACGCGCATTTGAGAAATCCGTGCATAACATTCACGCGCGGGACACTGTTGAGCAAAATCTGAGCTCAACTTAGTTTGCCTACAGGACAGGGGGAAGCTGTATTGACGCGCTCCTCAGTATGCAACACACCGTCTATAGTTATCTAGATGACCCTAAGTGTAAAGCCGTGCGTTTGTTTGCCATAGATTTCAGTAACGCGTTCGACAGCGTTAATCATGAACTTTTGTCTTATAAGCTTAAGGGTATACCGTTAAATCCATTCATAATCAATTGGTATTTAAGCTTTCTTGAGAATCGTCAACAGGGCATTATTTATAATAGTTTTCAAGGACAATGGAAATGTGTGAACAGGGACAGTACACAGGGCAGTGTGAGTGGTCCGTACTTATTTAGTATTTTTATTCATGATCTGGAAATCAGCATAGATAATCGTCCAGCCCTGTTTAAATACGCGGACGACTCTACTGTCGTTGTTCCCGTTTGGAGTGATGGCCACTGTCGTACGGATTTGGTGGATCAGTTTTTAATTTGGTCTGAGGAAAAAAGTATGATTTGTAATCCGTCGAAAAGTAAAGAAATTATTTTTCGCAAGGAAGGTTTTATTCAGGATATTGCGCAAGTTAATAACATTCCGCAATGCACGAAGCTGCCCATTTTAGGTGTTACGTTTCAGGAGAATTGTAAATATAGCGAACACGTACGTGCTAAGTTGATTAAGGCAAATAAGTGTCTGTTTGAATTAAGATCTTTACGGAAGGAAGGTTTCAGTTAAGCGCCTTAGTTTTACCAAATTTCACTTATGGTCTACCTGTTTATGACGCTACAGACTCAGATCTCACGGTCATACAAAACTTTATGGACAGATGCTTTAAAAGGAAATACATATCTTAGAGAATGGACATTCGAGAACTTTTAGAAAAGCCAGATAAGAAGATTTTCAAGGTACGTTCAGTGGATCCCGATCGCCCGCTTAGTAACGTCATTCCGAAGAAGAAAGAAACAAAGTACCAACTCAGAAACAAAAGTGCTCATCGCCCGGATATAAAGACTGACAGATTTAAGAATGTTTTTTTAAAATAGGCATATCTTTAAATATAATCTTTGATCTTTCTATTATTTTATGTTGTATGTCTTATGTATATATATACAATATGTCCTATGTATTTTTAGACTCCTAACTGGTGATGTAACTTAAGATATGTCTTTTTATCTTAGGAAGAATAAAGATTGATTGATTTATTGATGACACGAACAAATGACTCGACGACACGAACAAAGGATACCAATTTAGTCCCCAATGTGACTCCATATTAAAAGGTCAATTACTTCTTCAAAGTGGTCGCCTTTGTTCAAAGAAAAAGGAGCTTTACGCGCTGAAATGGTGTACTGCTTTGCCTCGACATGCAATTATTCATCGGAACAAGCGCCGAAAAAGGAAAAGACGAGTACAAACGATAGATCCATCTGACAAGGTTAGGTACAGTATTCATTGATAATCTTTCCCTCTAAAAACAACGTAAAATGCGATAATTTTAATAGCCTGCAGTGCAGGCGTCTTGTTAGTGCGAGCTAACGTTAACGTTAAAAGCTCGGGATCGTTTGTTCGACCGGCCATTTTTGATTTGCAGTTAGAGTGGACAGTGGGGGGAGGGGGCGGGGGAGGGGAGAAAAGACGCCTGCTCGAAGAGGCTGTTAAAATGCCATAAGCCCCCTGATTAGTTACGCTTCACTGCATTTCCGGAAATAAGAAGGTAACCAATAAAAATGAGTTTATTTTAAAGTCTTTGACAACGACTTCCGGCAAAAAACAAACACACGTGGAGCCGAGCCGTCATATCCAGCTACATATAGTGCGTGATGTCCGATAAGAGTGCGAGTGACAACTGTAGGCTTTGAGAGTTTCCTTCAAAATTCAGTTCGGAAATCTCCCTAAGCAAAGCCACTCTTCATCAGAAAATGTTTTCAAACCTTCGAAACGGAAGGAGTGCTTTGGAGTTGTTTTGAGCGAAATTGTTCGTCAAGTTGGATTTTCCTTAGTGCAAGATAGCTCGAGATTTTCAGATCGTGTTTGCAACCCATGTGGCCGTAAGATTCGAAATTTAGGCCAATTTTACCACGCGCAACTACAACGACGTCTACTCCAGTGAAAACTAGCAAAAGAAACCTTGACACGCCAGATAAAGCTAGTCCACCGTGGGGGAAATCAAAATCTGAACGCGTTCGTTCCCCGATTGACAGGACTCCGTTGAGGGAAGTTCCTCCTCTCATGCGGTCGAAAAAGTCTCTCGCCTTTGAAAACGCAGTGAATACCTCGTCTGCCTTGTTGGTACAGGAAAGCGAGATGCTTAGTCATATGAATGTGGAAGATCTCCCAAACGATGGTGTAAAAATCGTGTTCATGAATCCGTCTGGAAACGTGACTGTGAGAATTCCCAGAGATTCCCGAACAAAAACATTGGTGAAGAACGTTGCTACCAAACAATGGAGAGAAGTGATTAATGCACTTTTAATGCACGAAGAAATTAAGCCTGAACTATATCAGGAAATCTCCTTATATAATTATATGTCGCTCGAGTTTGACGAATACTTGAAATCTGGATGCATATTGGAGGCGCGTAATCCGGACGAGCTCGCTAGTATATCGAACAAAATTTTCATGAAAGAGGTGAGAATTTTCTGTCCCCTCTGGTTTGACTGCGTTCGAGGTGCAAGTGGTTTATCGCAGAATGCTTTCAAAGAGTGCGTCCCAGAGATAAACTCCCTTGCTTTAGCGACACCAACGCTAGCACGCTTAAGAAACGCCAAAGCCTCTGCAGTGCACTACCGAATTTCAACCATTATGTTTCACAGTGGTGTTAAACATGACGACTTGACACGTTTAAATCATTTGGGGGTATGTATGTCTCCAGACTGACAGCTACAGCTGCAGCTTAATCGAACCAATCAGGAACTCCGTTCGTGGGCGAACGGAGTGTGGCAAAATAACAATGACTTCGGGCAGGCGTAATCTTCACTTCCCTACCCCCACCCCTCTCCCTATTTTTGACCGTCGACCGCCCCCTTGGTACAAATTTTTCCTCTCCTCAGCCTTCCGCTGCCATTAAAATCAAAGATGGCGGCCATAATATTCGTTATGAAATTACTTAGCACTCGCTAGCCTAAATTACGCCTGCTCTGCAGGCTATAATTTTAAGCGAATGCGCTATTTTCATGAACTCGAAATCCCGTGGAAATTTACGAGCGTCGCATATCGAACAGTTGCATGTATTGTTTATCCTTCATTTCTGAGTGCTTTTGTTCTTTTTTTTATGTAGCATTTACGTTACCTTGAATTATGAACCGGAATTTAGCCTGAATAGAACTGTTACAGTGACAACATACATTTGTTTCCACTATGTTCGAGCAGAGACTTTTGAGGCGGTTCATACAAAAGTAATACAGTGACAAAACATTTCTTACACCAGATCAAAATTTAATGGAGATTTTTTATCGTCCCGTGTACAGGAAAGGCGATAAAGAGCCTGGCAAGGGTAAAATTTCCGCACAGCCCCATACTTCATTATGCATTCAGTTCTTGAATAGAGAAAACAATGAATAAAACAATACATTGCCATTGGGAAAACAGATTTGTTTTACAATAGTATGGGGCTGTGCGGAAATTTTACCCTGGCAAGCACTCCAGAGTATGTAGCTGCCATTTTAGTGATGGCAAAAAGTCTAATGGCTCAGAGATGTTTGAACGAGTTTGCAGAAAATATTGATTAAAGCAACCTGATGGTGCATTCATTATTACTCCTCTCTGACCATTACCACATTGAAAACAAAATTACGATGAATGACATTTAACAACAATTTATCGCTCCCTGTTATAAATAAAGTCTCTTCGGAACAATGCAAAATGTTATTTTTAAGACAAGCTACCTTCTAAAAGAGCAGGACTCTAAAATTACCTTTAAAGAAGAACTGATTCATCGACCCGCCATTTTAAATGCTATCTTGTCATCATGCACTTCAATGTTCTTGTTGAATGAGCTGGCTTTTGCTGCGGTTTCCACCAACGAGGTTTTCGCTGTGGCCATCTCGAAATTGACTGTGCGCCTAGAAGAAATTTTTTACAAATCTGATATTATGAAACCAAGTGAGACGGCTTTAAAGGTCGTAAAACTTCTACGCCCGAGTAACGTTCTCGTCGGCACGTGCAGTGGAGAGTAAATCATGAATAATAACAGAGAGAAAGAGAGAAAATTTGTAATTCAAATAATCATAAAACGTCTCCGATTTGATTGAGGGAGTCGCCGGAAAATTGACATAGCACATCTCTATTAATAAAATACCATCCACTAAACGCTTCATTTACATGTATGATTGTTCCACAGCTTGGAAAAGGTTTTAAGTTCTACTGATTCCGGCGAAGTTATCAGTGAAGCTTTCATAGCGTTTATGTGATGTTACTTACGGTAACTCGAACCCTTCTGCCAAGTTGAACCAAGATCCATTTCCATTCCGCTCATTTTCCAGACGATTTTACACTCCATGGCTCCAACCATGTCTGTCAACGGATTATTTAACAAAAAAAATGTGCAGTAAACCAAAACATTGGTTGTATTTCTTATTATGCGGCCGTTTATTTTTTTCCCTGTTTGACATTACAAGGAACAGCGAAGAAGGAGAGGCGGGGGTTCACCTTCCCCCCCCCCCCACTTTTTTCCGCGGCAAAAAGTTGAATATTTTCTTTGTTTCGTAACAGTCAAATGGTTCAAATAAATGAATTGAAAACCACGTTTGAGCCGTGGATGATGAAAAATTAATAAATAATCCTCACAGATGAACTGAATCCGAAGAAATTGAGAAGAATTTTTTATACCTTAAAAACTGAATGATCTGTCCATTATGACTCCCTAGGAGGCTCTTCACTCCTTACTAATTTTAGTTATCTTGCACAGACTTATATGTCTGAGTGTTCAATTGGGCGCAAAATGGCAATCATAAACTGAAAAGGCTCTCACATAGAAAACAGAGTAACAGAAATTTGAATACAGAAGAAAAGGAAATATTCCTCTTGTGTCTTTGGGGTATGTAAGTTTATCTAAACAACAACTCATAAAATGATGAATATCGTGCACTTCTCTTTACATGTTACTCAACAAAAGATACACAAGTCTACTTGATGTGAAAGTCAGGGGCACCAACAAACACTCCAGCTACTAAGAACAATCCGTTGGATAATGTTTTAAATGTGATTGTGTGGTAGCCTGAATTCACTTTGCGATCAATCGTGTCGTATCGATTCGATCTAACCCGAATCGAATCGGTTTCAATTGTTTCGTTTTTGTAATTGTTTAGCCATATTGCAGCAATACCACCTTCATGTCTTGTCAAAACTGTCACTGACCGAGTGCGAAACGAATTGTCACCAACAATCCGAGGAACATAGATCTTTAGCTTAAGGACGCTGGAGCGTCTCCGGGAACACCACCCCCCTTGGGAATCAGTGCGAAGTTCTCTAGCGACTCTTTTGACGTTCCTTTTTTGTCCGTACAGTTTGAAACATGGCGAAAAGCCAGTTTTCTCTTTAATTTCAAATTTGAGATTAGAGTGGTGAAGCTTCTTAAATACATTCGGCGTTTTCCCCGTCCAACACAATGGCTCTTTTAAGGCTTCGGTTTCCCGCTTTAAAAAAAATAAGCTCGGGAGATTGAAGCTTCCGTCATTGCCTCTGACATGATTGATAGAAAGCGGATTTATTCTGGTGTCGTCGTAAGCAATCTCTTGGTAAATGTTTTTCACATATTCAGTCATCATGTAAGCAATCTGAGCATGGGCCATGACGCCAATATGCTTACCATCTGAGCCTGCCATGCTTGAGTGCATTACTTTCCATTGACCTTTCTCTTTCCTACAAATTATTTCTCTCAAATTGAATGATGTAATGTCGTAATGACGGGCAAGTTCTGTTTGGCCAAAGTCTTCGAGGGTAACACAAGATGGATTTTCCACCTTTTTAGTATACGGATTAACTCCGAAATCATGTACAACGTTTATGTAGAAGACCACAGGTGCCGAAGGATATGAAAGGGCTTGTCTCGTCAGTTGTTCCAGTGGTTTCGCCGTTGCTCGTCCTTTATCATTAGCTGACATTTCTATCAACATTATATCGAAGCTCGTGCCTTCGGGAATAAAAGTTCTATAGCAAAATGCGTAGAAAGAGCTCCCCGTGCCTCCAATTGTCAGCGCGGTTACATTCAAAAAGGATTTTGCAAAACTACCAAAGGTTTCGTTCCACCATTTCTGAAATACTCTGAAATACAATCCATCCAGGCTGTTCTCGTCAAGTCCTAGTTTTCCTCCCGCGCTATGAGAGCCTCCGATCACCAACATGCTGATGTTTTCTCCCCGTAACGCTTTCATCAGAACATGTCTGAAGCGATCAGAATTACCAGCTTGAATACTTCTTGATACAAGTGTTTTGTCAGGAGTTATAATGCTAAATTCATCCCGCAGTTTGAATAATTTTTCTAGTTTCGTGACTTGCCGAGGTGTCGTTATGTTAAGCGAAAACTTTGTCATTGTGTGAAGATGATATAAGATGATGAACATGACGACAAGAAAGATGTAGATAACAAGGGTAGACTTTGGCATCTTTTTCAATTGCATACGCCCGGTTCAATCAGCTTTGCTGTAAGGATGAGAGAACCTTTATCTCAATTTATGCAAACATCTTATCGTTAAATATGAATCAAACCATAACATCATAAACAACTTACCGTGTCTGAGTGCGCTTGCGATTATGAGTTCAGAATGAGTCGGTGAAAGGGAAAGAGCTAACAACAGTTTCATCACAGCGTGGAGGGACCGATTTGCATTTCTTGTTTAAAAGATATTTTAATATGAATCGGCTTGAACTAGCGTGACCTTATGCTGTGTGTCCTCTCACGCATATAATATTCTGTTTTGCGTCAAAATAGCGGTATGCGGGTCCACTTGGCGAAGTACTTAAAATTAAAAATATTGATTAAGCAAACAATTGGCGTACTGTTTTAAGAAACTTATTGTGGCTATGGGTTATATTGTTTGTGGTTTCTGACTGTCTTTTGGTTTGCGTTTCATCGCAGAGAAAACACGAAACAAATTTGTCCACGACCGTAAAATAAGTTTGATGAAAACAACTTTGCGTATTAGTAGCTTTCCACTGTTAGTCTTCATTTCATAGCGTGCTATTTTTGTACAGACGTTCCGGACTGAATGCGAGAAACTATAGTCATATTGGAATGGAGAGACGATTAAAACTTCAGAATAGCTTTAAGGAGAGGTTTTTCCAACACCAAATAAACAATTATCTACATGCGGTTTTTGAGATTCCAAAGATTAATCTAAGTATACCACAGGTTTGCGAAATAAGAGTCGTGGCGAAACTATTAGAGTTTGTATGAGAATACAGTCAAATTCTCAATAAAGATACCTCACCTTACTTCCACAGTGCATCGCTTGTTATCTGACCGCTTACTACGTTGAAAAGAACCTATTTTAGCGAGTTATCCATTTCTAAGTTTACTTCTCATAAGAGAAGCCCAAGGCTGCACACGCCCGATCCGAGAAGCGAAAACTCCAAGCTCAAAGTGACTGGGCCACCACAAATCTAACGCAAAACCAAAGCACATAAAAAGAGATGTTTTAGAGCCACGGATGCCGAGTGTGTGGTCCTCGACGAGGCCCGGTTTGCAAAGGAGGCAGGGTTACCAAGCTGCTTTTCAAGGTGTCGTGGTGAATGTGGACGCAGGTCGTTAGAAACGTCTGAAATATAAATTTTGGAAGCAAACTGCGGCTTAACGTCGGTTTCACGGAGAGGATTGAGTTGGTAGTAAATTGAAATGAAACTACAACATATGTGCTTAGATTCTGCGTTGGATTTAACCTTGACCCTCTTTATTTATTTTGAAAACAACTTGGTAGCCTGGCCAACCTTGCTTCATGTCCCAGAACACTGATTCACTAACAAACACGCTGCTTTCGTCATGCACAAAGCTACGACTTTAGGCAAGAATTCCAATTTGAGCATAACTACTTATGCTCCGAGCAAATCGCCGTGGGGTGGAATAGAAGGCGAAAAAACTTTGTTACTTCTCAGATGAGAACGATCCAAAACGGCAATTACCATGTAGTCAAGTTTTTAGAACATCCAAAGACAATTGGTTAGCCTTTCAAAAATTTGCTCGTGCTGATTTATCCTAAATTGCATTAGACATCATGTGATTATCTACACAAATCGAGTTGGTGAGAACCAATCACGTTGGATTATTTTGTTATAGTTTTGATCACTATGATTATCGTGCACTTTGCTTTGCTTATTACTGAGCAAAGGAAAGTAAATCTACTTTAAATGAAAGTCAGACCAACAAACACTCCAGCTACCAAGAATGTTTTATTGGATAATGTTCTGACTGTGATTGTGTGGTAGCCCGGCTCCTCTCCAATGTCCAATCGTGTCAAATCGTTGAGTTCTCACCCAAAGCGACTCGGATTTAACAATTTCGTTTTCGTTGCCACATTGCAGCCCTGCTTCTTTTATATGTTGACAAAACTCTAACTGACCGAGTGCGAAACGAATTGTCCCCAACAATCCGAGGAACGTAGATTTTAAGCCCAAAGATGCTGGAGCATCTCCAAGCACACCACCCCGCTTGGGAATAAGTGCGAAGTTCTCCACTGACTCTTTTAACATTCTGTTTTTGTCCATACAGTTGGAAACATGGCGAAAAGACAGTTTTCTCTTTAATTTCAAGTTCTGGAATAGAGTGGTGAAGCTTCTTAAATACATTCGGCATGGCTCTTTTAATTCTTCAGTTTCTCTCTTTATCAAAAGTAACTCGGTAGATTGATGCCTCCGTGATTGCCTCTCACATGATTGATAGAAAGCGGATTTATTCTCGTGACTTTGTAAGCAATCTCTTGGTAAATGTTTTTCCCAAATTCAGTCACCATGTAAGCAATCTGAGCATGCGCGTTGACGCCAATATGCCTACCTTCTGAGCCTGCTATGCTTGTGTACACCTCTTTCCATCGACCTTTCTCTTTCCTACAAATTACTCAGTCCCCTTCAGTTGAATGATGGAATCTCGTATGATCGCGTCAATCAATCCCATACAGTGCAGAAAGTTGAAATTAAATTGATTGACAGGAAAGTCGCGAAAACGCAACGAGACTAGATCGCGGGAAGGTTAGGAGTTATAAAGTTTTGATTCAGAGTTTGGGAGGGAATGCCATGAACAAAAACAATAAACAAAGGACGAAAAACTAGCGAAAAGTTTGGATGTCTTGGATTTCCAAAAACGGCTATAAAAGTATGAACTCGGGAGGCCCTGAATAAAATTCTCGAGAAGTTTTATGCAACTGTTCGTTGGAAAGAGGGGAAGGATTACGAGCGGGAAAGTTTCTATGTAAAGGTTACTACTCTCCACCGATACCTAAGAGAGAAAGAATACAAACGCTCGATTTATTATTAATAAGTAACAACATCATTTAAAGAGGGTAACACATGCCAGGATGACAGACAAACAAGTGACCATCTGTAGGTAATTTAGTGTTAACAACTGAGTTGAAAACGTAAATTGGCCGCCGTAAAGAGTAAAAAAGCTGACGTTTCGAGCGTTAGCCCTTCGTCAGAGCGATAAACAAAGGGCTAGCGCTCGAAACGTCAGCTTTTTACTCTTTACGGTGGCCAATTTACGTTTTCAACTCAGTTGTTAACACTAAATTACCTACTATACTCTCCCACCGACGTAGCACCACGGTTTCTTTAGAAACTTACCCCCTTTGTTCATTAATGGCCATCTGTGCTGAATATCTACCTTGTAATTGTAAATTAACTAAGAATAGTACTAAGTATGAATATCAATTTATTATCTAAGGTTAAAAAAATACATAGAACATTAATCCAATCCACATAGTTATCTCTATTCTAAACACTATATCCAACGCGCTCGTGTAATTTTGTTATCGTTGAAAAATTTACTCGTGCCTATTAACATTAAATTGCATTCGATATCATGTTGTTACCTGAACAAATCGGGCTGGTGAGGACCAATTACATTCAAGGATTTTGTTATAGTTTGGATTATTTTGATTATTATGAATTTCTCTCTACTTATTATGTAACAAAAGACACAAGTCTACTTGATGCGAAAGTCAGGGGCACCAACAAACACTCCAGCTACCAAGAACAATTCTTTGGATAATGTTTTAACTGTGATTGTGTGGTAGCCTGGATTCACTCTGCGACCAATCGTGTCGTATCGATTCGATCTAACTCGAATCGAATCGGTTTCAATTGTTTCGTTTTTGTAATTGTCTAGCCATATTGCAGCAATGCCTCCTTCGTGACTCGTCAAAACTGTCACCGACCGAGTGCGAAACGAATTGTCACCAACAATCTGAGGAACATAGATCTTTAGCTTAAGGATGCTGGAGCGTCTCCGGGAACACCACCCCCCTTGGGAATCAGTGCGAAGTTCTCCGGCGACTCTTTTAACGTTCCTTTTTTGTCCGTACAGTTTGAAACATGGCGAAAAGCCATTTTTTTCTTTAATTTCAAATTTGAGATTAGAGTGGTGAAGCTTCTTAAATACATTCGGCGTTTTCCCCGTCCAACACAATGGCTCTTTTAAGGCTTCGGTTTCCCGCTTTATAAAAAATAAGCTCGGGAGATTGAAGCTTCCGTCATTGCCTCTGACATGATTGATAGAAAGCGGATTTATTCTGGTGTCGTTGTAAGCAATCTCTTGGTAAATGTTTTTCACATATTCCGTCATCATGTAAGCAATCTGAGCATGCGCCTTGACTCCAATATGCCTACCATCTGAGCCTGCCATGCTTGAGTGCATTACTTTCCATCGGCCTTCCTCTTTCCTACAAATTATTTCCCTCAAATTGAATGATGTAATGTCGTAATGACGGGCAAGTTCTGTTTGGCCAAAGTCTTCGAGGGTAACACAAGATGGATTTTCCACCTTGTTAGTATAATAATGAACTCCGAAATCATGTACAACGTTTATGTAGAAGACCACAGGTGCCGAAGGATATGAAAGAGCTTGTCTCGTCAGTTGTTCCAGTGGTTTCGCCGTTGCTCGTCCTTTATCATTAGCTGACATTTCTATCAACATTATATCGAAGCTCGTGCCTTCAGGAATAAAAGTTCTATAGCAAAATGCGTAGAAAGAGCTCCCCGTGCCTCCAATTGTCAGCGCAGTTACATTCAAAAAGGATTTTGCAAAACTACCAAAGGTTTCGTTCCACCATTTCTGAAATACTTTGAAATACAATCCATCCAGGCTGTTCTCGTCAAGTCCTAGTTTTCCTCCCGCGCTATGAGAGCCTCCGATCACCAACACGCTGATGTTTGCTCCCCGTAACGCTTTCATCAGAACATGTCTGAAGCGATCAGAATTACCAGCTTGAATACTTCTTGATACAAGTGTTTTGTCAGGAGTTATAATGCTTAAATTATCACGAAGATTGAATAATTTTTCTAGTTCCGTAACTTTCTGAGGCGCTGGCGTGTTGATCGAAAACTCAAACTGTGTTATTGTGTGAAGATGATATAACAAAATGAACACGAAGGCAAGAAAGAAGTAGATACAGAAGATAGACTTATGCATCTTTTGAAGTGTAATTGCTCGGTTCAGTCAGCCGTGCTTTAACGATGAAGAACACCTGTCTCAATTTATGCAAATTAAACATCTTCTCGATAGATCTGAATTGTTTTAGGAACCGGCTTTTTAAAGCGTGACCTTCACGGTTTGTGTGTTTGTTAACTCTCACGCAAAAAATTATCTCCCCATGCGGCAATATAGCGGTCTAAGGGCGAAGTACTTTAAATGAAGAATATTAGTTGAGTAAATAGTTGGCTTTACTATTTTAAAACAAATCACTTTGGTTATAGGTTTACAGTATATTGTTCGTATTTTCTGTGCCCAAGTTTACGGTGCGTGGTTCATCGCAGAGAAAACAGTCTATTGAATCCTCAACCGTGAAATACTTGCAATCGATATAAAGCAATTTAGCATATCAATATATTTCTATTGTTAGTTCATTATAGAGCGTGCCATTTTTGTGCACGCGTAATTCATTTTTCATGACAATGCGAGAAACTAATCAGTTCAGAATACAATAAGATTTTATTCGCTGTTTATGAAGAGATGAATATGTTTAAAATACTTTTTAATAACAGTATTATGGTGGATGGCAAGGGACCTTCAGAAATCACGGGGCTTATACAAGGGAGGCCACTTTACGAAAAAAATATACATATTTGGATACAAGTGAGACGAGTGAAGAGACGATTCAAACTTCAGAACACCTTGAAGTAAAGGTTTTTCCAACAGTAAATAAAACAATTTTCCATGCATGATGTCCCAAAATATTGGTTCACAAACAGTCGCTGCTCTCGTCATGCAAACATATTTTTTATTTTTGACAAAAATTCTAATTTGACCATAGATCTTAATTCTCCCAACAAATCTCCGAAGGAAAGGGGGAGAGAACGTAATTAATCAATGAAAACTTTTTATCATGTTCTTTGTTATGCAAAAAATTAGCGAAACATCATTACGCTTCAACATTTTACATCCGTAAGGAGTCTTACTGGAGTCCCATTTCACCTGCGAGCCATATCCTTTAAGATGGAGACATTATTGCATAACTCTGTTGCGTCGGAGATTTTCAAAACTGATTTTAAGGTAAAACAATTTTTAATATGAAGTTTTGTTTATTGTATTTAAGATATAAGTTAGGTGCACCAATCAAATTTCCCTCCCTCGAGTTATCATAAACAGTTCGTTATGTAATGGTCTAATCGTGATCGCGGGGTAGCGTGGCGTCTCACCTCTTCACTCGCTCTCCCCCGTCTCCGGACGACAGTTTGACGGCTCTAAATTGAGCTGTTTTTGGTTGCTATACTGCCATTTCAATTGCCCCATTTAGGGATTTTTCTATATGGGTACTGCTTGAGTTCAAATGAACTGAGCCCAAATTTGGTAGCCAATGCAAGTCGTTGCCGAGGAAACCACAAACATGTTGGCGAAAATTCGCAGTGTTTTTTCGTCTTTCCCCGGTGAACTCGACTCTTGCATCACTCAATACGTTTTCCTTCTGCTGAACGATGTGGACTACGACGGCTTTCCAAATGTGAGACGGTGCAGAGTAGCGTAGACATAGGCCTGTTCTGATTGTGTTCGGCAACTTTTGAGGAACTTTTGGCGTTTGGAGAAACTGTTTTTTAGTTCCGGCAACCTCGAGCACTTTTTGCCTTTCTGAGCAATTTTTGGGCAACATTTCAACGATTTCATAGAAAACATCAATTTATGCGAATTTCTTAACTGTTTATCAGCCTTTCGAACACAGACTGTAAATTGACAACGTTTTGCAGGCCTATCTGCCAATAATACTGAGAACGGATAATCGGCTAAAATGACGAACAATAATGGCTGCCTCTGTTAATTTACGGAAATGGATGGAGAAAAGCCGCCTTTATTTGCAAGAAACTCTTAAAAGCTAAGTTCCAAGCTATTTTACTTGACCGATGTCAGCCAGTATTGCAAAGAACGAAAAATGTTGCTGTTATAAATTAACTTTTATATGCCTATCGAGAATTTTTTTTTACTTGCGCGTCTATTTAGTTTTAAATAGGCTGCTACGGAAAAATTCCGTCAGATTGTAGGTGAATTTATACCTAAAAGATAGTCTGGTAAATTTCTTTCTAGTGGCTAGAGTTTCCTGGTGGGTGACCCTATTCGGAGGAATAACGGAATGACAGAGTATCTTAAAATCTGACATAGAACGACCAAATATCCTAAAACGCGAAATGACAAGCTTTAGCGACAAGATATGTGAAGTATCATAAAACATTATACTCTATCACAATGCTTTTTTTCCGGTATTATCCACCTTAACTGCAACAATTGAAACCTCTCTATGTAAGCGTTTTCCGCCATTCTGTGTTTCGGATATTCCGCCATTCCGCCATTCCGCCATTCCACCATTCCACCATTCTACCATTCCACCATTCTACCATTCCACCATTCCACCATTCCACCATTCCACCATTCCACCGTTCCATGCATCCCAAATAGGGTCAGCCTTCTCAGAAGTTCCAGTAGAATTTCTGTCACACTTAATAAAAGAGGCTAAAACTTGAGGATGCATTTCCTTAACTTGAAAACTTCACTGCTGACTTAAATAATCCTTTCGAAAAAGAATTATCGAGACAGTGGAGTTCAATTTGACTGCAATCACTGTTAAACTAACCATAAGACAGCAGCGTGACTCGATCTAGTAGACTGCCTGTTGATACATGAGATCGTGCTCAGCGCATGTTGAAACCCGATCTTTTACAAGTGGACCATCTGTATACGCAGAGTGGACTTGCCAATTCAGCGGTCAAACGTAGGGCATGTGCGAGTAAATCATGATCAATTTAGCTGCCTGTGCGCCAATTTCCTTCCAAAATTTCAGAGGGAAATATAAGAAGTAACTGAAGTCTCGCAAAACTAGGGAAGGAAATTGAACTTTGATAGAAATCTGTAAAAGGAAAAAAAAAGTGGGGAAAAGAAAAACTCGAGACTTCCGAACACAAAGCATATTCAAGTACGGGTATCAAGGGGATTTCTGATTCTACTTGGAGATTTTATTACAAAAAGGAATAAATTTTTAAAATACCGTGACTTACTAGCTTGTGTGGTTGTTCGTAACTCCTGTGAGATAACTTGGTTCTGAAAACCTGAAAGCACACGAACTAAAACCCGGTCCGTAATTACAACGTTCGCTCACGCGCAGCCGTTCGTCCGCTGTGTTAGACTTGTTACTGATTGCCCTTAGTAATTACTGTATGCGGTTTCCGTCTTGTGATCTACTAAACTCGTGACGCGTGATCGCATGATCATGAGAAAATAATGGGATTGATATCTCTTGCATAATTCAAACGCCAATCAACGAGTTCGGCTCTCGCCTCGTCTAATTTAACGGAAAGTGCAATCAAATTTTAAAACTCCTCTGCTCCTTGAGGCAAGATGCCTTTTATTGGTGAACCCATTGTGTTTCGACACGACTGAAAATATGTCTGCATCTAATCTAGGCATATTTGACATGTCACGCAATCAACAGCAATGGCGTTGAAGAAACTAACCATTGTCCTAGTTTTACTCTTTTGCCGATTTACGCTTTTTTCCTTCATCGCAGTTTTATTTTGGATTCTTCAAGGTATGCCAAACCTCAACATTTGTTTACTGATGGTAAGTATTACAAATAATGACCAAATTGTTGTTGATTCAAAGATTGATGAAGGAAAGTTAATGTGTAGACATGCTTACGTGGAATGTCATCTTGTTTAAGCGAGCAATGCAAAGGACTTTGGATTTTTTAAGCTTTATCTGAATCTTCTAATGATTTTCAATACCTCGTACTCCCCATTTTTTATTTTTCACCACTCATTATTTTTTTTGTCGGCGACAATGAGGAAAAACGTTTGTTGTTGATGTTTAAAAGGATTCGAATTAGTTGCACATACATATACTTTTTGCTTTCCTCCCTCCCCCCCCCCCCAAAAAAAAAAAAAAAAAAAAAAAAGAAAAAGAAAAAATTTGCATGAGCTTTGTTATTTTATTTCTCTTGGGGCCCACAATCCTCCGAAGCAAATCGTGAATAGAGAAGGCAAAATGATATAGGTAAAATGTTATGGGCACTCGGAAGGAAAATACCGAATTTATTTTATGGGAAATTTTCGAATTGCCGAAATTGGAATATCTCTTTACATTTTCTTATGCACCAGCTATAAATATCAGTAGAATTTTAGTTAAATCAAACTTAACAAACCATGTCTGATTTAGCTATAGACGTAAAAGGTGGGCATATAACTTGACATAGAAATCATCTCTGACTCAATTCAGTGACGTGATCGTCACGGCAGTGTTTCTTTCCCTACCAGTCTTGTCACGCAACGCGTTACTTTTTTGCGAAGAGGACTACATCATAGTAAATTGCGAGGAGTTATTTAAGTCATGGTCATTACTTCTTTCGTCAGATATTCCTGTCTTACATCATTCCTCTACCGCCAGTTTCTCCCTTCATCCATACAATTGATCGCGCTTTCTCACATGTCTCCTTCGTTGTGAGGTTAGTATCAAACAATCATTTATACTTAGACTAACAATTACTATTCTAAGGTCTTAGAAATGTATTCCGAGCCGGTTTGTTCAAAGCTGGGTTAAAGTAAGGGTTAGTGCGAAATCTGATTTCAGATCTATATTTTATAAATAGTAATAAAATGGTCGTCACGCAACGCTGAAAGAAGCAACACTTAAGATGGCGAGATGCTTGCTTCACAAGCAGGCGGTCACGTTAGGCGTGTAGACCAAGCGAAATGCTTCATGGATAACAACACCAAATACTGAATTATTCTCTAGAAATTTTTTATCGCAGATGTTGTTTTTCAAATTTGACAGAGCTTACTCTCTGGTGGTTGTGGCAGTTCAAATGATTTTCATCGGACTGCCTTGCTATCTTCTGTTCTCTCTATTTTATGAACCCTTGGAGATCTCATTGCGTTACGTCGTCAACCATTTAAGGTAAGAATTCGGATCTTAATTGCGCAGCTTACTTTCCATTTTCGCGATATTGAAAAAGAATTCTTGAACAAAAGAAACAAAACAAAGTAAATATTTGTTCTTTTTATGCTCAGATTCACCATTCCTCATCTGGTATTCAGAACGAGTACGATGATGTTTGAACGAACCTTACCGTGTCTTAGCACGTTATACGGTCTGTTAAGGTTAGGTGCACTCGGAGTAAGCTCCGTACTTTATCTTTAAAATGGAATTTAATTACCTCTCGGCATTTCGCTAAGCGCGTCGATCGATAAATTAATGATGAGGGACAGATCCGAAAAAGAAATAAAAGGGGTTTGAAACTCACGTTAGCATGGTTGCTGCTCACAAAATGCTTGGATTGATGCGTTGATCAATTCGAAGCCTCAACATCCCCCTGGGTAACCCCCTTAGCATTTGAACTTTTGAAGGTTGGTTCGTTCAATTACCGCCCCTTCCCCCACCCCCAAGCCAAAACTGTGTTTTAATGCCCTTTCAAGTGCTGGATTTGATTGTCAATTTTTTTGTCATAAAAGAGAGGATCATCAACCGTGAATTCTTGAAGGCCTCTCTTTCTAAGCCTTTTGCTCACAAATGTGAACTCTTTACCTTTGAACACCTCTTTATTAAAAGATAAAAACACATGTATTCCGCTAGAATGACTTTACAATTCTGGTCAAAATTATTCATCCCACCCAGGCAAGGTTTAAATTCCCCACTTCCCAGGTGCGGACGACAGTCAAATGCCCGTGGGTCGCCCGGGAGGTGGAAGTTAAGGCCTCGCAACTGATCGGCGAATAAAATGGTGGAGCGCGGTATCAACACCTCCCTATATCCACCCCTGTCTGTGATGGTCTTGGATCGGTCAGAGGGAGTTGGAATGGGGGTGTGGGGGGAGCTGTTAGTTTAGGTCTTACCAAGGTGAACCACGAAAATTATGTAGGGAAATTTGATGGATTGTACATTTTGTCAGAGTTTGTTAACTGAAATTTACAAAGTTAAGTTGAGAGTTACAAAATAGGAAGAGGTGTCAAGGGTTTCTCGAATTTTTTTTTTCTGTTTTAACTTTCAGGTCTAGTTTTTTTTCCTTTTCAAGCCTGTTGATGAAGTGCTCGATGTGGATGGCTGCAGCTCTATTCTCCATAGCCTCTCGTTTGGTTTGCAAAGTGATTCATGTGTAAGCTTTTAACGTTATCGAGTAAAGCATTGTTTTATGCAGAGGACCGAGGATGCTGGATCTTCAGTACACATGCCACTCATCAATTGGGTTGCACTTGATTAGATTACATTACATAAGATTAGATTAGGCCATCTTTGCTCCTGCTGGGAACATAGTGCGTCGACCATGAATCTCCATCGGATCCTGTTTGGGCTGTTCTTTTTGCCTCTTCCCAGATTATGTTATTCTTGTCGAGCTCACCTTGGAAAGTGCGCCTTCAAGACTGCTTTCGATGGCCTCTTCTTTAAGAACCGTGAGGTTTCCATTCGAGGGTGCGACGGGTGGTATTATCCCTAGGTACTAGCTTTCCTTAATGAGTTACGAAATGCTCATTAGATCGATACAAAAGCAAAGTTAATCATATGTGCATTTTTTTCTTACTCTCCTTTTTCTAGAAAGGTTGTTAGTTCATTGCTTGTGACCATTGGAATACTGATTTGTCTTCCTGGATTAGAACTAATTCCCAATCTACTTGCAACCGGACATTTATATCCTGGGTCTCTAATAAGGTAAACAATTGAGTACAGTTTATCATAGGGCAAATTGTATGGAAGCATCTCTGATGAAAAACGTGCACATTGAGTGTCGCGAACGAAACCCAAAAGCCAATCAGAGCGAAGGTAAATATTAGTGGGGAGCCATAAGGAACGAGCAAGAGAACACGCGACTAAGTCATGATACGTTCTGGTGCTGCATCTGATTGGTTGAGAGGCTGGCGCAGTCCCGGAGCACTTCGAAGGCAAACTGAAATTTGCTCCAGAACACACTTGGAAAATTAAGGTGGCTCTACACTGCCATACAAGTTCCTCTCCTTACTTATGGAACGTCCGAATTACGCATTCCTCAACACTGAAAAACGAGTTTACTTCTTTTTCACAGGTTCCAACGTTGTGCAAAATACGATGACAGCACCGTTTGCCATTCTGCTTTCTTAGAGTTTTCATACAGCGTGTGCAACTTAATACGTAATGGGATCTTTATAACTATGTGTTGGACTGTTAACTGTAGTTCTTGGAAAAAACCATTAAGGGAATTGACAATCATCGTAGAGAGCTGCCCGACACTGAGAAACAAGTCTTATTTCCAACTCTTACTTTGCGCAGCTGGGCTGCCCCTATTAATGAACGGACACTGCTTTGCTCAAACAATTCACAATACAGCATCAATTGGAAATCTTTTGTTGTTTCTGGTCGCACTGAACGCTTATCACACCCGTACTGCTTCAATGATGTATCACGCGTTATGTGGTGTGGTTATGAACGTCCAGAGCACGCTGGTGGCTGTGTACAACATATCTAGGAACTTACAAACTCAACCCAATGACTCCATTGCGACGTTGCTGTACATTTTGGAATTGTACTTGATGCTGCTCGTCCTCTTAGACAGCAGTACTCGGGTGATAAAAAAAGTTATAAACCCAAAACTGGATATTATGTCACTGGAAAGTTAATGAAACTTGTGAAATGACATTCTCGCACAAACTTCTTTCGATAGTCTACCCTACATGAAATCTCCTTCGCACCTGTCGTTACAGTTGTCACGCAACTCTTTGTTGGGCTACAGTGCGACGAGAACGAGACACAATACTGACAACAGCTGAAAAGACTTATCCATGACAATCAACTGAAAACGGTTTTCAAGAAAATAAATAAATTGAATTTTATTTTTTTCCTTAGAGGGTTTGAGCTGAATAACAGGACTGCTCTACATACCTTCAGATTTCTTCTCCTACACTTACTCCGGCTTTTTTAAAGTCACGTAACTGTCTTCCACAACATTAAAGAGGATACTAGCCTACATGGGTGAATGTCGAAGCGTGGCGAATATTATAATAATAAGGGATAAGTTGATCCTCTCTTGGCGATGATAGAAACTGCGTATACTTCTTACGATTTCATTTTGACCGTGATGAATTTCTCTTCAGAAAGCAGTAGTGAGGTTTCGGCCAATTTTTGTTCCCCTCATTCACTAAATGAGAGAAACAGGCCATAGTTCACTTATCTATAAATAAATTACTATGTTATACTCTTCCCTTTATGTCATTTGTTCCCACTATTTAAAGCTATAAATTAATCTATATCCCGCCTTTGACCTATAATTTTACCACCCTCCCCTCCCCCCTTAAGAAGTTGCCATTGATTCTTATTGAACATGTTTACAGTAACACTCAGTGATGGCACTCTACTGTGTAAGCTATCAAATGCTGTTTAACTTAAGCTCCACATGCAAAACATCATTCAATTTCTAGCAATGAAGACATAAATATTGGAGCAATGATAAATCAGTCACTGAGCCCCAGTCGACGATAACCCTTGCAAGTTATCCGCAACACAAGCAAAAAGCAGCAAAAAATTTAATTTGATGTGTCGTCGCTGCGAAGCCTCTGAGGTGCCTCACCCCCACCTGTATGATACCCAAAGTGCTTGAAGACCTGTTTTTCGGCAAGCTGAGTGGAATAAACGTTGAGGAATATGAGACTAAACGCTTAAACACAAACGTGATGAGGCGGGCGGGAAAAAGAACCCGCTCACTACATACAACAATTATCTACTTTTTCAGCTGTTCAATTGTTCAACTAATAAAAAAAAACCTAACGTCAGTTCTCAGTTCTCAAACCCACCAATGCCACCGTACCCTAGTCCTAGACTCTCTCTTTTGACCCCGGCAATACATCGACTGGGCGCACTTTCTAATTTACAAATTCTTCATTGGTGAAAACATTACGTCTGCTAAGATATGGAGCATTTTTTTGATATAATTTTGTGACATCTAAAACATATAAGAACGATAGGAATGGCAGGAGCTTTTCAGGATTTTTAAGTGAAAGCTTTCCATGGTCAGACCTCGGTACCTCCAACATATTCTCTGTCGAGTGAAACAAAAACGTAAAATTAGCTTCGCTAGATACTTAATCGCTCAGTGGTTGAGAGGCTTATTAAGTTAAAGAAACCGTTCGCTAGAGCAGTTCTTGCTTTTTGGCGAAGACCGTTGCGCAAAAAAAAAAAATCAGTGAATGATGTTAGCACGCCGCGCGGAATATTTAGGCGCCTCACTCCCAGAGTTCCGCGCGGCGCGCTAACATCAAATTCTTTTCACTGATTTCTTTTCCGACTAGCGCGACGGACTTCGCCGAAAAGCAGGGACTACTCGTAGTCTAACCGTGAGCTTAAGGTTAACGTAGTTTTAAAGTTTTAGTTTTTACTCTTTGTTATCAATCATTAAAATCATTCGCGATTTAATGGAGTTATTGTTTCCTTATCTTAGGAAACGTTCCTTTACATTGAAGAATTAATTTCCTCATTCAAATGTTTAAATCTAATTCAAGCAATAATATTTAACTTTTAGGTACCTACAAGCCTCAAAAAGTTATGCCTTAAGGGTAACCAGTCAGTTAAGGGGTATGAGTCCACCCTTTCCATTAATTTGGATTATGCTCTTGGGAAATTAACCTTAATAAATTTATGTCAAGAATGAAGAAAAATATCAATCAAAGAGCAAACAAAAAAATAGGCTTTCCTTTTTCTGACAACCGATGAAAGACACAACTTTCTGAGCTGAGAAAGGGCTTGTTAATTTTATTCTTCTTTCTTTTAGAAAATGCTTAGAAAAGGGGTTAAAAGTGGTTAGTTTTCGATAAAACGTTTATGGCAAGCCTACCTCTGCACACAGCCTTATCCCTTCACCTCATTAATGGCCAACAAATTGCGGCATTTTTTTACTGTATTACAGAAGAGTAGAAGAGAAATTAGCTCACAGAAGTTGAAAGCATTTAGATCGGTTTTAAGACGCGCAGCAGTGTGTAAAGCTTGGAAACGAGTCATATCTGACACGTGATACCTTTTTCATTTGTCGCCAGTCGTGGTCGTGCGCTCACTGCGGTCTCTGGAGCTGTGTTGCGTTGTTTAAGAATAATTTAATGACACAGTCATTTCACAAATTTACGCTGGTGGGAATGGGGAGGGAGCAAGTGAAAAAGGGGAAGAAAGGGGAGAGGGGAGGGCAAGGAAGTTTACTAAAAATTAACGACAAAGGCACTAAATAGTTTTCTGTTCGAACGTGTCAACTAAGAAGAATTAAAAAGGTTAAAGAGGAATGATGATTTTAGATATATGAAATTCATATATTTGCACTGCGGTGAAGAGATGAAATTAAGAGATCCTCGCAGCTAAGAACACTACTGAAACGAGTAGCTGAAAATAGGACCTGAAAAAAATTCAGGCCCGTACGGGATTTGAACCCATGACCTCTGCGATACCGGTGCAAAGGTCATGGGTTCAAATCCCGCACGGGCCTGAATTTTTTTCAGGTCCTATTTTCAACTACCCGTTTCAGTAGTGTTCTTAGCTGCGAGGATCTCTTAATTTCAAGGTTAAAGAGGGTTTGACTTTCATGATGTAGGTAAATCGCCTTTATCACTGAAGTGTGTAAGTTGGTTCACTTTCACGTTTACGGCTTTTTTTTTTAAAACAGGGTATGATTTTAATCGTGTGTTTATGTACTTTTTAACATATATTTATGGTTTCATTTTCAATATTGGTCATTTTAAGTCAAATGAATATCCTTCTTTGTTTCACTTAGTTCTCACAGACTCAAAAGTGACATGTTATTTTCAATTTGTGGAGTAACGATAGAATGATGTATCATTAAATTATTGATTAGTTGTTTAATGTTTATTTTCCGTTTATTTTATTGTTTAAATCCATTTGTGCACAGCAATTCCAGTCATGGCAGGGGATTTTGATTAAGAACACGGACTTATCTCCCGGCGTTAAGTGACAACTCCTGAGTATTGCATGACAACACGTGTAACGAGGAGAAGACAACCACAAATAATGACATGACCGATTTTTTTGCTTTCTTTCAAAATTTTTGACAGGTACTTACATGTCAAGATGTTTGACAGCATCACTGGAACACATAGTGGTAGTCTGGTAATGACAATCCCTATGTGTGACTAATTTGCACTCTGAAAAGATACACAAACAAAGATGAAATTTAAAAAATGCAAGAGTTAGTAGGCTCAGTTTCTTTACAAATGAATAAAGGGGTAAGTTTCTAAAGAAACTGTGGTGCTGCGTCGGTAGGAGAGTATAGCAGGTAATTTAGTGTTAACAACTGGGTTGAAAACGTAAATTAGCCACCGTAAAGAGTAAAAAAAGCTGACGTTTCGAACGTTAGCCCTTCGTCAGAGCGATTGACGAAGGGCTAACGCTCAAAACGTCAGCTTTTTTACTCTTTACGGTGGCTAATTTACGTTTTCAACCCAGTTGTTAACACTAAATTACCTGCTCAGTTTCTTTACGCTTGATGCGCTGAGATCTGAGCCCTGTTATCTGGTCTCGTCACCGAGACAAGTCACTGAAGATGAAAATTGACCTCACACTGACTTCATTGAAAAACTGAAGCTTTTAGAGCGGTTTTCCATTTGAATGTCAGATGGCTGAAATTGGGGCCACAAATACTGAGGAGCTTTTCCTGATTCACGGAATTCAAACCGAAGCCGTTTGCAAATCTACGGTCAAAGAACAAGTTGGGATTTCACTGCCCACATTGAGTTGTCTGAAGTTGAAAATGTTGAAATCCATCGTTCCAATTGTGTGGGCGGCCCCCGATCTTTTCTAATGCAAAAATAGCATTTGACATGACTGTGATTTAGTATCTTTCATTAATGATTACCTCTACATTGGTAGCCTTGTTTTCCGATTTTTCCTTTGATTGATTTTGCACACACAGCACATTCCGGTGAGCTAAACAGAGAGAATTGGAGTGAATAGTTTAGAAAAGCAGTAGATGGAGATCAAAGGCGTCAAGAATAAAATAAACGCCCTGTAGAAGCACAGAATGAAATATTTAAGAGGATACGATTTGAAGCCATTCAATGTCAGACCGCAAAAACAACAACAACAATCACAGCAATAACTTCAACAACAAAAACAACAGCGTTATACCTTCCAGTAAAGTGGACAGCGGTGAAGATGTGATCATTATAAATGTGCAGCTTATTGCCACCTTTCTCATAAGCTTGTCTTTTAGCCATCACGGGAGGAATGTGCGCATATCTGAGAAAAACATTACATGTAGCATATCAGAAGAATTAAACGATGTTTTCTCGCTCGTAACGCAGCGCCAATGAGAGCCAGAAGTTTTTATTTGGTTGTACATTGACCCATCTCTGATTGGTGGAGAAATAGCAAAAGCGTTTAACCAATCAGATTTTGGGTGATCAAAAACCGCGCTGTGTTTTTTCATGTATCACCTGTCGTCTATCTAAACCTTAAATCGTACGAGGAGCTAACAAGAAAACCAAATGCTTAATTTAGTTCCAAATGTAAGTTCACTTTTCAGATTTAGTGAGTGTGTTGAACAAAAAAAGATCGTATTTTAATAAACTGAATTATATGATGAGTTCAATAAAGATTTATCAAAACTATTATCATCAAATTTTCCTTGTTTTATCCACTCGTGTTGTGGATGCAGTATTTCCGGTTTTGGAAAAGTACCAATCTTAATTCAAATCCGTTCTAAAATGCATGAATTACCTGAATTATTGACGCATTAAATCATATCAAAAATTGATCCACGTTTTCATGTCGTTCATGGCATGCACACGAGACAAGAATAGACACAGGCACTTTCTTACTTTTTCTGGCCCTTGTGCACTGTTTCAATAACCAGTGTAGAGTGAGGACTTGGTGAATAGCTGAGAAGTGAAGATTGACTGGTGGATTTGCCTGTAAAAATGAAACAAATTTTTTCAATGATTAAATAACACATCGGTTAGAGTTTCATTCCCCTGTTGGTAGCCCTACTCTTTTGGTTTGCATAAAATTCCCCCCGTCTCATATATGAGAGGTTCCGAACGAAGGTCAGAGCACTTACGCAAGTTAGATGGATCTGGGACAGGTAGGTCCCCGGCATGGTAGGAGTGTCTGATTGGGTCATCTCTCTTGAACACCTTTTCTTCACCCTTATCTGTGTCCCTGTCGGCTGCACTCATACTAACTGGTCTCCTTCTGAACAGATTGAAGGACCTTCGCATTTTGGGTTTGGTGTTCAGTTCTGAAGCTTGTTCAGTCATTTCTTCAAGTTCTTTCGATTTCTCGATCTCTGTTTCCTTCTCTTCCTCTTCTTGGGTCTCGCCGTCTTTTTTATGCTCATCTTTTAGTCCTTCTTCTTTGCTTTCCACTTGCTGTTGTACTTCCTCTTCTTCTTCCTCTTCTTTTTCACCTCCTTCTCTCGTTTCCTCGTCTTTAACACTTTCTTCTTTCACGACATCGTCATGAATTTCTTTAATCTCTTCCTCCAATTCTTCAGCTGCGGCGGCTTTCTCATCATCCTTAACTGTCTTCTTGTCACTTTGCTTCCTTTTGAAGGCAAACTTGAATGACCTTCGTGTTTTACTTTTCTTTTCTATCACCTCTTCTTCCTCTTCCTTTGGCTTCTCGTCTTTATCTTCCTTTGGCTTCTCGTCTTTATCTTCCTTTGGCTTCTCGTCTTTATCTTCCTTTTCGTTTTGTTCTTGTATCTCTTCCTCTTTCATGTCTTCCTCTTGACCTTTTTTCTCCTCTTCGGCCTCTTTGTTCTCCGCTATGGGAACTTCTACTTCGACCGCTTCAACTTCCTGTAAAAATCAGAGGAAGAACTGACAAAACCATAACCAACTACGCTATCCACATGTATGTCGAAGATGGTGTCCTTTAAAACACTTAAAGAAACCAACGATTGCTTTAAACGCCTTACCTCGACAAGTTTGACTGGTTCCTCGACAGCTTCTTTCACCTTCACCTTTTCCAGCACGGGCTCAACTACAGGAGTTGCCATGACAACGATTGGAGCAGGAGGCTCGCTCATTAACTCTGGTTCGTCATGTTGTTCTACAGTGTCCACGCCGTTTTCGTAACTAGCGTGTTTCGGCTTCTCATCGTTAGCTTCATAAGCTTCAATCTCCATGGCCAGTTCATCCAGACTTGACTCGATGTAACGCTTCCGAACTGGAATGTGTCCATTGATCTCGGGATCAGGTCCCCCGCCATTCATGAAGACTGGGGCTGCTTCCTCTGATGGGGAGCTGTGGGCACTAGGGCTCTCAGGATCTGAAAAGCAACGATTAACAAGAACAGGATTTATATCTAACCAAATAACGATCGGCGCGGTAGAGATCATCAGTAGGGGCACACAGGATTCGCACTGAACTCTAGCGAAAGTTGGAACGTCTAGGAACTAAGCAATAATTTGCGCATCTGAAATATTTTCTACAACAATTTTCACGCTCGTCACTTGCAATCTGTGTTAAGTCTTTTCGATCATCGATTTGGTCATCTTGATCCTTATAGCTTTAGTCTCCAAATAAACTGATGTATCAACTTTAACAAATGAATTCAGGTAAAAATGTACTCGTCCACACTACTTCTTCCCATTTTGTTTCAATCTGTAGGAGAGCCCTGTGCAAAATGCATACTTACATCTGAAAATCAATGACTAAACAAAAAGGCAAACAAGAAGAGAACTTACCACTGGACATACGTTTTCGCCCCATGCCACTTACTAAGGGCAGAGTAGCATCAATGACCTTTCCATCCTTATCAAAGGTAAACTGTTGAGAAAGACAGAGTGGTTGGTTACTAACTGACGAAACTGTGACGGGATGTACCGTTTTAAGTGTCCATTTGATCAAACTCACTGGCGCACATAAGTAAGTTTTTGCTGTAAAGTGCGTTAAATGTGACAGTACGTCGATCATCAGTTAAGTTGTGACCAGATTTCCGTGGGACTAACATGTTAAACTCTGCCATGTGGCCTGTTTACGTTTCTGAACATAGTGTCATTAATTCCTTGCTTTCCCAATTCATGCAGATCAGAGAGAATTCGTGGATAAGGAAATTTAAAATCCGAACATTTTCTTCACTTTACCTAATGCTAATAATTATCGAAAAAAGACAATAAATCAATAATAAATGAAACAAAAAACATAAATAAACTAAAAGATAACTACTTTTAAGACTCGTTAGAGGATATTTATGATTATTGTTGTCTAACCTCCAAGGTGATGTCGCCCCTTGAATGGTCACTTTTAGATGACTTGGGCAGCACAGGGAGAATCAGCCGACATGTCTGGTCTCTGTTCACCGTCGAAAGAGGGACAATCACTTGGCCAAGATAATCATCTATGTAAGTAAACGAAGTACGTTACAAGGCAGGACCCTGTTTCTTCACTGCAGCACTGACAGACGAGAGAGACAGTTAGATTCTAGATTCTAGAAGGACGACGACGACGACGACGACGACGACGACGACGACGACGACGACGACGACGACGACGACGACGACGACGACGACGACTAAAACATTAAGATTTTTTTTATCTCTGTTACCGTTTGTCTGAGTTTATATATGTTAAGGTTTAGTGGAACAAAAAGACACGCACGCGTGACACACGAACCAAAGGCCCGTAACGAGTCTAAATAACGACTGCACCATAGTTTGACTGGTTCACTGAATAAAGGGACTGGAAACTATTTTTTATTTTAAGACGGCACTATGACCTCTGAAATTGTGAATTCACGTATCTTTAGTCTCCCCCTTAAAAAAATACGCATGGTAAAGATAAATTTTTTACTGTTAACACTTTACTTATTAACTTATTAGCAATTTTTCCCCTCTGGTTTCGATGTAATTCCCTGTTCATTACTTAGAAACCATTTACTGCGTTACTTATAACATCATCATAATCTTGTTTCTACTTCATCTTTATGTTGTGAAACTATATCATAGTGTACTGTGTCTGATTCACCTTGCTCCTCAGTAAATTCATTGTCTTCCAAATGACAGAGAGAATCTGTTTAAAGACATTTAGACGTAAAAAATATTCACAACTATCTTTATTAAATGGAGGAGATTTTCATATTTAAAGCAAAACAACAACAGCAAAAAAAAACAATTACACTTGTTTCAGTGGAGCAGGTGAACTTTAGTGAAAGGTTTAATGAAAATGATTTCGCAGTGATCGTGAAAAAAATGCCAAAAAAATGATTTAGTAGCGAAAATGATTTAGCTTGTTTACAAGTGAAAGTGAATAAATTCAGACTGCAATATGCTTATTAGGCGAATTTATGGTTTAAGGTTTATATGCAATGTTTAATGTTTTATTCAAGGCCATGGAAAAGTTTACACAGATCAGGGTTAACATTTAACCAACAAAATGTTTACAAGAATGATATTGAAAGCTGTTCATGTACGCTTTGATGTTTACAATGTCATTACGGCTATAGTTGTTCTTTAACTTAAATCAAGCTATATCTAACGAGTTTGTGATGTTTCAGATAATATTAAGCCACTTAAATCAGCAGTAAACTCTGTGACCGCGCGGATCTTTCTACTGAAATTCGGAAAGGCAAACGTAAAATCCATAGGGGTGAATAGGGGTCGAAATAGATCTTCCTGTGGTGGGGAGGGGTGAAGTTTGCCAGAAAGTTGCATACAACAGGTTGGCATTTATTCCTTGAAAAACAAACTGCAAACTGATAAACTTTCCTCTGCCTCAAAATAACTAATTGAGGTACAATTTAATGATGTGCTAAAAGACACCCAATAAAGGAACAGCCCATAGCAGTAAAATGAGACAGCCAGACACGTTGCAGCAACATTCCTGGCCAACTGAGTCAGGTCAGGGTGCTCTTCCTTCCCCACCCCCCACCCCCTTGACGAGATGTTAGTCGATCAGAGCTGCATGTAACTCCAACCTCTCGTGGGGATGGGGGGGGGGAGTCTCAAGACGTTCACGATGTTTGAGAAAATTACACAGAAAAACTTCAAATTTGGGGGAGGTGGGTAAAGGTTAGAGAGGTTTTAACCCATGTGACCCTTTGTAAGAGAGGTTGGAACATTTTATTTCTTACTACTCAATTCAGAGTCCTTCAACTTGTGAAGACAGACTCTGTTGCATAAAGTGATTTGCCTATGAAGGAAACAAAAACTCTAAAACTTCCGTGCATAGAGCTTGATTCTGAGCTCATCCAAAACTGTGTCCAATACCACAAAGACAAGACTTACCTTTTTCTGTCTTTTCATAGTCATATAGATCAAGTGTGATCTCTTTGGTTTTGGGATTGATGTCACTGTTTTTGCCAAAAGGAAAAGTGACATAAATAAATAAATATATAAACAAATAAACAAACAAAAGATTAATTAAAGAGAAACTTGAATTAACAATTAAAGAGTAAAAGCTTCTTAAACCACTTGAATATAAAAATGTCAGATCAATATCAGTATCTGGGCAACTGCCCACCTACCCCTCCCCTAACTCAACAACAGTCAATTAATAACAAGTTAAGGTTAATGTTGGGTTAGGGGAGGGGTAGGTGGGTAGTTGCCCAGATACTGATATTGATCTGAAATTCCTGTGCTTGAGCCTGGTGATCCACCCAGCCAGAGCTTATCCCAGTTTCCACATAGCATGAAGCATCTAAGAGTATTACTACTCCCCACTGGATGGGATGTTAGTCTATAGCAAGGTTGCCCCCCTACACTCCACCAGTACCTATACTCCTGGGTGGACAGGGGCACTGTCAGAGTAAGGTGTTTTGCTCAAGAACACAACACAGCAACCTGGCCAGGTCTCCATCCCAGACCTCTTGACTCAGAGTCCAGTGCACTGACCATCAGGCCACTAAACCTCCCACTGGAAAATACATGTAGGAATTTTTCATGATAAATTGAAAACTAAGGGAGGCACAGTTTGACTACCAGTATTTATTTTACATTGTTAAAACAACTGATAAGGTAACTGATAATTAACCACAGAGCATTCACAGTAACTTGACAAGCTGCCAAAAAAAACAGTGATCGTTAATGTAAAACTTTATCAGACTTACAAAGTGAAATACTCATTCCAGAACGGATTTTCATTATCTCTGACCATGGTAGTTCTCTTGCGCTGAAGTGGGTTGCTGGTAGATACAATACAGTAAGGACTGAGTGATCCTGAAAATATCAAACATACATGATTTAACACAAGGTAAAAGAACAATAATATTTATGCTCAAACTGTTCCATCTGTTAGGAGGTTCTACAATGCCACGCATTTGCTCTGTAATAATCACAAATATAATCAAATTGTTTCATACAGAGAGGCAAAAGAATCTCCAAACCTGATGTCTATCTACATATCTTTGATCTGAAAGATCTGAGGTAAGGCAAAATCAAAATTCCTTTACAAACTAGCTTGATACTTAACATTGCCATAATCAAACAAAAAACAAAATAAAGAACCCAACTTACCACTTTTGACTTTTCCACAAAGACCACTTGCTTTTATGACTAGCAAAGAAACAAAAAAAGGAATTTTAGAGAGAAAAATCTTTCCAACGATTTAAAATCCTTATAACTATTGTGAATATATCTGCCATTTTTCAATTACTTGTATTTTTCCTTTTTCCATGAGAAAATTTTGCTTCCAGGTAACGATTTCCTATTGTAATGGTAAATCTACTATTATCTCAATCCATTCTGTTGACAGCCTTTTGTTCTACACTAAACAAATGAAGCACTACCCCTCCCTCTGGTGTCCACATTTGTTAAATTCCCTACAGCTCTTATATTACTCTGACTCTGGATGATGATGACAGATCATAGAGAGAATAGTCACCATTACTGCCAACAGTCCTTCTCAGGACTACCCTCACCAGACTACATGATCAAAAGAGAGTAGAATGACTGTTAACAGACTAGTCTGAGTCAAGCTCCCTCTTTTTCTACTAACTGATCATGTTCTACGAACACTGTTTTAGCCACATTAAATGATATAACTTTGGATCCGATGAACATACACAAGAAACAAACCAACATTCCCAATAACATGAATTCATCACACAAAAATCAACCAGTTTTAGAGCTGGTATTATGACACTCAGTCAAAATGCAGACTAACCCAACTCAATTTTTGCCTAAAATCTTGCTGCCATTTTCTGAAACTTGATACTGAAGAAAAATTTTACTCACTCTTTACAAGGAGTTTTCCTTCTTCTCCAATGCATGATGCTGACGAAGGAGAATCAAGCTGTTCTTTTGAATTAGCTGAACTCTACAAAAAGAATTTCCAAAAAATTAAACTGTTAACACCACAGATCTGAATTAAAGTTAAACATATTTTCTTGCATGTGGCCAAAAAGAGAGTTTGGTTTATAATCAAGATAACAACTTCCAGCTGGTAGGTTTTGTCAATTCTCACAACCAACATGCTAGATAATGCATTGAAACTGCAAGGAGAAGTTACATGTTGGTCACATCTGTGAATTTGAGGGTTAAAGAGGTTTAATGGGAGCTCAAAATTAAATTCATTAGGGAGTAAATTGTTTCTTCAATAATTTCATTAATCTTTATCCTAAACCACATAAAATTTTTTTCATGACTACAATTGTAAATGAAATGGCACTCACACATGTTATAAATTAAAATAAACACAATATATTATTGATATGTGAGTTTTACAAATTGTGTTAATGAATTAACAATGTAACATGAAAACTACATATCAAACAACTGGTAGCAATTTAAAAGTCCAGGATCAAAATACATGTAGTACTATTCTGCCTTTCAGCTATACAACACTTAAAATACAAAATTATATAAATATATTAGCTTGCTGCCTCTCCATGGTGATTTCAAGTATGCTACATCAAAACCCAACACTATCTTGACAGTTTACAACAAACAAAATGTGGGTCAATGTAAAGAAAGGTTAAATAATTGGCATGTTGTTTTTGCCCTGATGTGCCAACTATAAGACATAGCCAACCAGATAGTTATAATGTGAACACTCAAAGTTGCATCTTCATAAGTTCTTCATAAAGAAATAACATAAAATTTGCATTCTACCACAAGTTAAAGGAAGAAGAATGTTTAACTGTCACCAATACAACCAGATAAATAGTGCCTCCATGATAGGCATGACACTAAGCTATAATTTCATAAAATTTTATTAAAGAAAGTGGCTATCAAAACCAACATCTTAAAACTCATTAGAAGTAGAGGGCACAATTTGCCCAAAAATAGCTAATCTTAGAGAACCAACAGAATTTATGAAAAGGATATAATAACAATCTTAAGATTTACATGTTTTGATGAAAAATTCAGACATATTTTTGCATTTAATCTAGACAAAAATAGAATAAAAACATGAAGATTCTTGATGATATAGATACAAAAACAAAATCAGCCAAAGCTACTTGTTTTTACACCGCACACTGTTCATTTTATAACTTTATCTAAAAATAAAGGAACACAGTATGACTGGCAAAAAGGAAAGATTTCCTACCTTTGAACGTTGCCTTCCATTCATAAACACATAGACGTAAACATTGACAAAGTAGTTGTTTTCAATCTGTACATGAGAACTCTTCATTTGAAATTACTTTCCTTCTCAAGAAGCTACTGGCAAAAAAGATTCCTTGAATGTATTTGAATTTTTCAGAGCTCAAATGTCTTTTCACACATCACAAATCTCTCACAAAAAGAAAACTTCACCAAAAGCATGAGAGTCAAAGATAATTAATCAGCCTGAAATTCAGCTGGCTGTAACAAAATAGAATTATTTGAAAAATCTTGACAAAAATAACAATTTTAAAAGAGTATTTAAGTCACTGAGTAGGCCAGTCAATATTTACAGCAGAATGAACAAAAATACAAGCAATGACTTGACTTGACTGTACAATTTTCCCAGTCAGTGCTGGAGTAAAACATACAATGCTATACACTCCATGAGAAGCAGTCATTCAAGAAAACAGATCCTTCAATTAATTATTTATGTGGAAGAGATTTGCATGACAACACTGGAGCAGGTGGCAGATTTAGCCAACTGAAAGAAGCACTTTCTCACAGTTTGAATTCGGCATTAACTCAAATTAAGCTTTAAAAGCATGCAATATAAAACTGAAATAATATTTTATTTGTTTCCAATCAAAATCAGGCTAGTCTAGCTTCCACCAAAAAGAAACTATATTCTGCCATTAAAAAATAATTTTGAAAGTTCCCTTAGGAGATCACAAAAAACATCTGCTTTTCAAAACAATATTTCATCATTATACACTGCTATAAACCAAAATGCTCTAAAGAAACATTACCAATAAAAATAAAACAATCTTGCTTCAATCTTCACAAATGGACTTGTGTTTTATTTTATTTCATTTTGTTCCCCTGTATTTTATTTTCATGAAGACTTTGGACTGGCAACTCAAGCCTGAAAAAGAATCTTTCTTACTCAACTTTCTAAATGGAAAAAAAATCTAGAATGGTATAACCACAAACTGATGGAGAAGAATCTAGATTGAAATGAAATTCTAGGGGCACTCAGCAGAAAACCATTCTGTTTGTTATTTCCTCAGGTAAAACCTTTTTTTAATTCAGCTTTGAGACAAATTAATAGTATTTCATTTCCTATTTCAGATTAAAGGATTCTAAGTGACTGCAATGCTTTTAGTTGCATGTGTCAGGGAAATCTGCTATGCATTTTAAAATTTTTAAAATCTTTGTTTGGTTTGGTTGTTTTAAGTTTGTGGTTTTTCCATCTTTGCAAATTGTTGTCTACTGAAGATGCCTAGAGCAATAATGCTGGAATTTGCACTCACTTTTTTGTTTCAAAGATATTAATAATTAAATTTATCACTCTGAGGCAAAATAATTTGAAAGCAGCTAAAATAAAAGAGCTTGTTGTTTCACCTTTTTTTCTGGGAAGTTTGCCTGCAGGGCCCAGTTTTTCAAAAGCCAATTAGTACTAACCCAGAGTTAAATTTTAATCTGGGTTTCTATACTTCTTTGTTCAATAGCCTTTTTGGGATCATTTCCTCTACTCTATATGGAGCATCCAATCATCAAATTGTTGACAAAAAGAATTATTTTTATTTTCTTCTAGAGCTTCCAGAACTGAAATCCGATTTCACACTAACCCTGGGTTCACTATACCCAGCTTTGAACAACCCAGCCCAGGTGTCACCTTTGTGTGATTAAACCAGTTTTTTAACCCTTTAACTCCCAAGATCTCATGACTAATTCTCCTTACTGTCTGTCATATAGTTCTTGCCATGTTAGTTTGGAGAATTTGGTATTAGATCAACTAATTATCCCCTGGTTAATATTTTTCTTTATTCTCATCACTTGTCTGCTTGATATTGTATTGATATTGTAAGGAGAAATTTTGTCTTGGTCACTCATAGGAGTTAAAGGGTTAAGCTTTCATCTGACAAATTGAATTTAAACTGTTGCTTTAACCTTTTATGCACTAACATCAGTATGCATATTCTCCATACTTTTCTTTATACATTTCCTAAGGTGCTGACAAGGAGAATTTACTCAACAATCAAGAGCTTGTGATCATTTCCTGTATTCTCGTGACTCTAATGAGTGATTCTGGGTGATATGGTAAGGAGAAATTACATGCTAGTTACTCTTACAGGTCAAGGAGTTCAGTACTAGTAGAGTGTAATTGCAGTCTACCCACATGATTGTTTATGAAGATTAGTTCATCTGGTTGTATTTACTTACTGCATCTGAAAGTTGGTCCTTCGAAGAGGCCTCTGACAAAGGGATGTTAGTAATGGTTTTACATATCACCTCTTTGACTTTTTCTTGAACTTCACCGGCATCTACTTGGCTCTCCTGAAAAGACATTCCAGTTTGGTCAATTTAGAAAACAAGTATAATAAATGCCATGAATCACTTCACAACTTATGAACAGAGTTCAAAACATGACAGAAAACACACCATGCATGTAGTTGATCACAATAACCAGAGAACTGAAGATGATGGGGTCAATGTCAGTATCTGAGCAACAGCACACCTACCCCTCCCCTGAACCAACATTAACTCAACTTGTTATCAATAAAGGGGGTACGTTTCTAAACAAACTGTGGTGCTGCATTGGTGGGAGAGTATCAATGCCATACACAGCTACCAGCAAACTGCTCAGACAAATTGAACTCCTTGCCATCAGTTCTTAGCTGGTTATACACCTTATAAGTGAAAAATACATGCATTTGCCCTGAATAAAAGTTTTTCTCTTTTTTTTTCCTTCATCCAAATTAAAGATTGTGAATAAAGTAAGCAAATCAAGGGTTTTACAGTAAGCTGTTGTACATGTACATAATACTCTGAAACTGTGCAGACAAACATGCTCTCTTTGACCTTCTTACTATGACCACAGAACAAATGTGTGCAAAATTTTTGCAGTTTTTATTTTCAGCATTGGCATTTTGTTAAGAGGCAAAATATATATCTGAGAACTTCATGCACTTTCATGAGAGTTTTTTTTGCATAAAATGCTTGAAACAATTCTTTATCTTTAACTGCAAGGTTGGAAAATTGAATAAAAGTGACATTTCATTATCCTCTAAAATTCAACTTACAATGTACTCAAAGTCAAGTAAGTTACATGACTATAAACTGATAAAATTATGAATACTACAACATGTAACAGTTAGCAACAAATTAATTTAATAATTAAAAGCTAGTTAAAAAACACCTGCAGCAGATCAAATGCATTTTTGGATGGATTTCACATCAAATAACTTTTCATTTTGAACAACCATCACAAAATGCCTTATATTTCAGATACACTGTACAATACAATCTCTCATTAATAAGTCTCCCTCTGGATCACAAAATTCTGGTCACATGAACGAGTGGAGTTGCATGACAATTGGAAATTTTCACATATCTTATTTCTTAGCTAATGAAGGTAAACAAAAATTTGCTGGCAAGCAAAAACTTTGAAAACTTTATGAAACTGCAGCAGTGAACACACTAACTCAGCCAAAAGAAACACAAGATGATTGACAGACATTTAGTGAAACCCCCTGCCTACCAGCTCTTACTAAAATTACAATGGTTATTGTTTCCTAAAAATCAGAAAACAAATCTGCTACCTTGTAGGTGCTACAAAGACATACAAGTATAAATATGTACACCTATAAGCTTATATACTGACACTGATAGGTATGTGGTAATATCAACATATCTTTTGCACCAGCATGCAACATTCCTGTCACTATGTATCAGCAATCAAAAATATGCTACTTTTAATTGTCCCACAACAGTCTCACTTGTTTGTAAAGAGGACAAGCTCTTAACTATATTTCTTTGCCCTTAGGAAAGAGTGAAGGAGCAAATGAACAAATACAGAGACCCAAAAGTTATTTCTGATGGAGAATTGTTTTTTTGAAGTTATCTAATGGTATCAGATTAGCTATGGTTGCTGTCAGTATCAATGTTACAGGACAGATATATGCTACTTATAAAAAATCTGATTTTTGTTTCAATATGAAAAGAAACTCAAAAGTTGTAGGTGGAGTTACTCTTCTCGTTAACTTCACACTAAGATTTGTTCTGTTTCTCTTAAAAAATATGCACAGCCCTTGTGTCAGCAATTGGATACAAATAACCATGGAACAAACATGGGTTTGCGAGTGTACACTAAAGCCACATTTGATTGCAAGAAGTACTGCAATTTAATTTGTACAATCAAAATTTGACATTTGCACTAAAACAGAAGAAAAATATTGGCCACAGTTTGGAAGATTCAAGAAACAGTACTTTTTTTAGTTAATCTCACTTTCAAGCTTCACAAGGTTTTCCCTTAGAAATTAAAACCAAGATAAAGAAGCACAGAACCTGTCATGATTCAAATGACAATGATTGTTAGAATACAGACAGTGACAGAAAACCAAAAATTCCACTAAAAAGGCAACTGAGCTGTATTTTCATGGGACAAGGAGTAAAGAACTTGCTAAGAGTACCTGTCAAGGGTAAAGCTGGGGTGTGTTGTGATACTAGACACAAAATCAACTCTTACCCCATTAGAAAGATCAGGTGATGTTCTTACAACACACTGCAGTTTTGTTTCCTCACTCTGTTCCAAAACATCATTACCAGCGCCTGATTCAAACCACAAGACATTTTCAAAAATCACCCATCAATGCAACCAGTAAATGGATGTTCAACACAAAGAACCTTTCATCCAAACACAAGCCTCTTTTACCTTGTTTTGAAGAATCCTGTCCCATAATGGGAAGCTACCAGTTTGGTGTTAAACCAAGAATATCCTTACAAAGCCAGCTTACAAAAAGCCGCTGTCTTTCAACTGAAAATGCCAGTTTTTTCAGGGCTGAATAATTAATGATCTGTAAGCTTATTCCTTTTCTCCATGCACCAGTGTAATGCCAGAACAATGATTATGGAGGTGGAAAAAACTGTCAAGGGTCTGGGTAACAGTTTACATTCCTTGACAATTACATCAGTTTGTTGTAAATAACAAAGAGAGTTGAGAGCCTCAAAGCATCTGAGAAGATGGCACAAAAGAGATAATTGGAGTCACCTATTTATTTTAGGTTACTCCCTTTTGCAATAAAATTAAGAAAAATATTGAAAATTCATTAAAAGAAACACAGGCAAGTTCATTGTTTGAAAAATTCATTTCACATTTATCACTTAAAATCAAAATGTTATACTTGGGAGATACAATTTCACTATGTGTGAAACTGCAGGTTTCCCTTATCAAACAAACTTTTAGAGAAAAAGAGTTTAAATTTCCAAGAAAAACCAAATTTTGAATTCTCCTTGAGTTTTAGTAACTATCTGTCATGAAAACAGCTAAGGAGAATACCAACATTTATCAGAAAGGACACAGTCATTGACATGCATGCTGATCAGTATATTCTCACAACGAAAACTTACCAGCATATAACACCATTGAATGAGGAGATTTAAAATTTTGATGATTTAAATAAGAATGGATTTAAAGTTGATGAAATGGGTGGTAATATTGACTTAGCTAAATTGAAATGAATGGACACAGCAGGTGGAAAGGCAGGTACTTGGCTAAAAACCTGTAGCTGATTTTAACTTTAGGATGACAGGTAACAATTAGAGCTGGATAAAACAGACAGCCTGCAGGCACTAAAGTGTTAACATGTATAAAAATTAATTTCTCTCGATACAACATTTTTGAAAAATATTAATAGTACTGTTGCAAAATGAAAATTGAACAAAGGGAGTCTAAAATGGTATTTTGAACTCAATCAGAAGAGTTTGCATTCCAATTTTTAAAATGAGTTTGTGATTTTATTATAATGTACAAAATTACCATCCATAATTAATGTGATAACAATTGTCACAAGACTTATGACTTTTCTATTGCCATTACTGATTGAAAATGAATTCTCCTAACAATATTCCGACATTTTTAAGCAGGTGATGAAAATTATATTCAAGGGAACATCATATCATTCTGCACCTTGCTCCCAGAGATTAAATTATATAAGAAACATATAATTGACAGAGCAGAGAACTGATATAAGGATCTTGAGAGAGATAGAGCTAACTTGAATGTACCTTTACAGCGTCATAGCTTTATTTAGCCATAATAACCCACATGGGATGTTAGGAGAACACAAGAAAAGTTTGCAAATCATGAGCCGTAGACATTCTCCCAACATCCTGCATGGGTTATTGCACCGGTAAACTGATAGATATTGTGGTCTGTTGCTTTTCAAAACAACTATGGGTTTATCAACGCAATAAACAATGGGTTTTTGACCAGTTAGGTGGCTTGTAGCATCTCGCTTGTTTTACAAAGCATAATAATCACAAAATTATAAATTTATATAACAAAATTCCCATGATAGTTGACTCATTCATCAGACAATGTAACACTATATTCCACATAAGAATCAAGCAGTTTGTGTTTTCCAAACCACAACACAGCATAGATCAATACATCTTGTAATTCCATATACAGATCATGTAGTTTGTGTTTTCCAAACCACCACACAGCTTAGATCAATACAGCTTGTAATTACTTTTACCTTTGCAAGACACTTTGTGGAAAGAGCAATCTCAGGAACACCAATGAATTGAGCACTTATCTGAAGCCTTGAAGGGGAAGTGCTCAGCTTAAGAGCCACCTGGGAAGAGGAGACAATATAATGATATCAAAAGCTAACAACCACCAACCACAATTAAACAAACAGTCAGAAAAACATGATATTTGTTGTAAAATTTTCAGACAAACAAAACCAGACTGCAAGAGCTAATTTTGGTTTCATGAACATGATGCACCAACAAGTACTAACAGAGTATTAAATTGTCTTGAGGAATTTGTCAATTTTCTCTGAGAGTTTGGTGCTACTTTTTATTTTTCTTGAGCAGAGTTAAGAACTGTGTGAGAACATAATGATCCAGCCAATGGCACAAAACCAGATCAGTTGATCCCAGGTTCAGGAAGGAGACTTCTCTATAATAATGGTTAGTTCTTTTGCTCCAAGATAATAGGTTATTGGTCTTATAAATCAAGAATTTACCTCTCCTGCTAGTCTAACCACACGCACTTCCATATGAGTGGTTTTGGGTCCTTCACTTGTCTGTTGAATGACGCGCACAAGGAAACCAAGATCAACTGACTCCACATGAAATGTGACACACTGAAATCACAACAAATTGGATAATTTCCAAACAAAAGATATTTACCACATTATAATAACACATGCTGATGATTATTGATTAGGAAACTGTCATAAGAGTGATCACAGAGTGTCTTCTCTTAATTAATCCATGTTTCCATCAGACTAACATTTTTTTTCAAGTGCACAAAAATAAATACATGGAGTTTACAATGAAATGTGATCCAACTGAGAGAATTAATTTCTGACAATTACAGTGTTGAATATATTATATTATGATTCAATACATGATTTTCATATATTCATAGTCAGTTATTCTTCACTCCACAAGTTTTTTAGAAACCAACATATTGACCAGCTCCCTGTTGGCTTGTTTGCTCACTTGTTAAAGCACTGTACCAGTATCACAGAGGTCATGGGTTCAAATCTCGTAAAGGCCTGAATTTCTTTAAGCCTTATTTTCACTACTGATTAAGCAGGGTTCATTACTGCAATGATCACTTTGATATTCATTTTTTCAAATCACATTATTTGTAAACACCTAAATGCAATCAATTTGATAGATGTGAAAAGTTAACATTATTCACACAATTTTATTAAAGCAGAAATGAGCACACAAAGAGAAAGAAAGATACTGTTTTTTCTCATAGTCAACCGATAAATTTATCATCACACCCACTGTACCTGCATGTCACCACTGACAGAGAGACAGTACACACTTGTTAATTTTGGTGGCAGGCATCCTGGACAAAGGTTATCGATTATGATCCTCTGATCTTTCTAAATTAAAAACATTTATAAATCAATGAGAGATTTACTGGAACATTTATAACAATAACATGGGATTGGTTTTGCTTGAAAAATCAAATCACACAAAATTAATATCCTCAATACATCATGGAATGGTGCCATGCAGCCATGCATACTCCAGTTCCCATAAAAAATTAATGGAGAATGGATACTAAATGAAATGATCATACATAAATAATGGCTTAATTATAAAAAAAAGTTTATTCAGTAAATCATGTATGATATCCAAAGTTAAATGAAGGCACTAACACCATGAACACAAGAAATGAGCTGAAAGCAATTTGGTGTTGTGTATATAGCAAGTTTGCTGAAAAAAATGCAAAAAATTTCCTGGCTGCAATCATCCCAATTTTAATCTTTAAAAAATAGTTTGCTAGAGGCTAGGTGTATCTTGTGGAAAGACTGGATGGGATCAATTAGCAACATTTGCTGAGCCAGAGGGGAAAATTTCGTTTAGCATTATAATAACCCAAAGAATCCATCTGCTTTTTCATTCTTCTTCAGAGATGGCTAAGAATTGCAATATGGCCATTTCCAAAATTAGTGCCTCAGAACTATCATAAATCACAGCAGTTGAGATCTGTTGCAATTCTAAACCAATCACAGTGTGGGTTTCTCCAAAATCACCAGGTCGCGGTTGTTCTAAGAGTGGATATATACTATCCAATGGGTTAATCTTTATCCATTGGATAGTGCTGGTCTTGTTAATAGTTATCCAATGGATAGTGATTTATCTATTGGATTGAGGTATTTGCCCCTCTAACAACCAGGCTCAGACCAATTATGCCAAATGACATGAATTAATGACAAACTCAAGTGAGTACGGAGGTGTAACACTGCAATTGGTTAATCCTCCATTAATCACCTCACACGTGGTGACTACAATAACTCTGACTCAAGAGCTCTCGAGTTTATTCATCTTTCTATACAAGAAACATATACATTTATAGACAGTACATTCGCTCTCACGATAGCCTTGCTGATCGCGCTTGAGTCAATTTTCTCTCAGCAAACTCAAAATGATATTGTTAATTGAATTCTGAAAAGCAATATTTATCATTTGTTTCTCGTTTTCTTGAAAAGCAGTGTATATAAACATTGAACAATCTACATTTCATTAACAAAAAAGATCAGGGCACATTTACTTGAAATCATAATATAAAAGTCAGGCCTTCATCAATAAACATAATTTCAAGAAATACTCGAATACAAACACAAGATTCGCATTAAAAAATCACCGATATTTCAAGAGATGTTGGCGGGAAAATGATGGGGAATCAATACCAACGTTAACAATAAAACAAGATTACCTTTTTGTTTTTCTGAAGTTGTTTATTTAAAGCCCGTAACCAGAACCTGATAATGTTTGGGGTTCGATCTTTCCCTTGAGCGTGAAGGTACAACCACGCCAAAGTTGAATTCAGCCATGCACAAGGTTCGATAGTTACTGCTCGATTATCCTTCGTCAAAGTTCTAATTTTCCGGCTACGCTTCTCGTCCTTGTCGCCACTTGAATTCTTAGACGGCCTTTGAAGAAACAGAACCACCAGAAACAGAAGTAAAAGATGCAGAAGGACGACGTAAACCTTTACAGGGAAAGACAGGTCTTGGACGAGTTCAACCGCCATTAAATGTCAAAAGCGAGCTCCACTTGTTGAAGGTTTTAAGACTTAGAACTGTTAACGAAGAGTTTCGAGTTCAAGGTAATTTAACACGCAGCAAGCCACTGAAATTGAGACAGCGTCTACTGACTAATCTCTCAAAATAAATAGCCATTCAAATAACGCTTGGATTGCGTCGCGACTCAATAATACACAGTGTTAACTTCCCTTCGCAAATACAGCGGGATTTCAGAGGAGACGATTCTCTAATCTTTCGCTCGCGTGTGACCTGCCACGATGAATAGT